TGCCCACACCGCGCTGAGTGTCCAGTTTTTGACCAAAAACACCATGACCCCCATGCCCCACCCTCCCTATTCACCTGATCTCACACTAAGTGACTATTTTTGTTGTTCCCCCGGGTGAAAAAAGTCCTCAAAGGGAAACATTTTGCCGATGTCGAAGAGGTGAGACAAAAAACAGCAGAAGCACAGAAAGGCATCAAAATCGATGAGTTCAAAAACTGTTCTCAACAGTGGGAAAAAAGGCTTGATGGATATATTGCATACATGGAGAGCACTTTGAAGGTGACGGAAGTTTAAACATGTAAGAATAAATACACAATTTTTTATAAATAAATTTCAGGTTTTTGGGTGTCCCTCCTCGTCCTGCTGCCTTATTTATGATGGCATAACATACACACAAATACCCAAAGTGTCCAGCAATAGGAAAGCAGTTAAGTAAGGTATGTGGAGTTTAAATGAGATGTGTTATAGTATTATTCAAGCATTAGAAATGAAGTTTTTGCAAAGAAACTTAGTGACCTGAGAAATGCGTGTGATATGAAGCCTAATTCAGGATGCAAAAGCCTATCTCTTACATTCTAGTTTAGTGTTTGCAATTCTGCGCCCATACCTAGCAACAAGACTTAACCCCCATGGCAACCATCTTTTTCTCTGTGTAGTAGGATTACAGGTGATTTATATTTCATTTTATGTTTGTCTCTGTTTTCCAGCTTCTACAGAGATGTATCTTCATTTTATTAAAACCAAATGAAAATGTTTCTACTTTCACGATAGGTAGGAGACGATAAGAAATTTTTAAAGAAATTTTAATCCAATATGGAAGTTAATGAGGCAAAAACAGGTATTAAGAGCAGATTGGCCCTGGCTGGTGTGGCTCAGTGGATTGAGCACTGGCCTACGAACCAAAATGTCACTGGTTCGATTCCCGGTCAGGGCACATGCCTGGGTTGCGGGCCAGGTCCCCAGTAGGGGGCAAGTGAGAGGCAACCACACATTGCTGTTGCTCTCCCTTCCTTTCTCCCTCCCTTCCTCTCTCTCTAAAAGTAAATAAATAAAACCTTTTAAAAAATAACTAAAAGTAATTTATTATGCAGTATTCCAGAAGCAATACAAAGTCATCGTGGAAAATGCAGACGAGCAAAAGAGGAGGAAATAAAAATCACTTGACTCCCCGCTCCCAGAGATAACGTGCTTTCTGTAGACGCAAAATGAGAAACAAAATCATTTACCAAAATGGAATTTTACTACAATAGTATTTTGTAGCACTTTTGCCCTTCTGACCCACTCATTAAATACTTACTGGGAAGTTACTGTGTTTCAGGGGCCGTTTCCTGTGTTTCGGATACTGCAGTGAACAAAGCAGATGCCTGCCCTCAGGGGGCTTACATTCTTGAGCGGAGACAGGCGTTCAACAACAAAGGGATACTCATCCCTTGGAGACAGAGCATGCTCGCGCGGGCCGGGATGGACAGAGGGCCCTCCTTGGGAGCGGCAGTGGTGGGAAGGGCGGCATTGTGCTCGGCGGGGTGGCCGGCAGACGCCTTCGCTGGTCAGGGACAGTGAAGCTGGGACCTGAAGGATGAGAGAGGGCAGAGTAAGCGCGCAGCGCGGCAGCGCACCTGGTGGGACCGGTAACTTTCCTGGGCGTTGAATATTTCACTTCATAATCTCTCTCCCTGCCCAGCTCTTTCGAACCTTTTTAATAGTGTCATATTATACGTATCCTTGTGCAACTTTATTTTTTTAAATCCTCACCCGAGGATATGTTTATTGATTTGAGAAAAAGAGATACATCAATCAGTTACTTCCTGGACGCTCCCCAACCGGGGATCGAGCCCGCAGCCTTTTGGTGTATGGGATGATGCTCCAACCAATGACACGCCTGGCCAGGGCTATCCTGCAACTAAAAAAAAAAGAACCAAAAAAAACCCCTAAATATTTAAAACATTCCAGTTAAATACATACAACAAAATTATCATAATTTTGAAGTGTACTGTTCAGTGTTCATAGAAGGGATCATACAGTATTTGCCCTTTTGCATTTGGCTTATTCACTGAGCATAAAGTTTCCAAGGTTCATTTGTGTTATAGCACGTGTCAGAGCCTCCTTTGTAAGGCTGAATAATATTCCATCGTGTGTATGGACCACATTTTTTCTATCCGTTTTTCTTTCAGTGGACACCTGGGTTGCTTCCACCTTCAGCCCCTGAGAATAATGCTGCTAAAAACATGGGAGCGCAAACATCAGCTCAAGTCATTCCTTTCAAGCACGCGCCCAGGAGTGCACTTGCTGCGTCCCATGATGGTTCTATGTTTCCCTTTGAAGGAGTTCCCGCACTGTTTTCCGTAGTAGAAGTTGTGCCTGCGTTCCACCAACGGCGCACAGGCTTCCACTTTATCCACGTCTTAACTCTTGTTATTTTCTGGTGGTTGTTTTTTTAATAGTAGCCACGCCAATGCATGTGAGGTGGTGCAACTTGTTTTTATTATTCAGCATTCCCTGAGACTTATCTGTATTGATAATTTAGATCTCAGTCGTGTATTTAAAGTGTGGCTTTATTCTTTTCAGGGTTTTAGGTCCGGGTTTTTTTAGGTATAATTTATATCCGATAAACTGCACCCTTTTGAAGAGTTTTGTCGAATGGCACCTTCTTCCTCCCCATCCTTGCCCCAGGCTGCTATTGGGTGGTCTGTTGCTACAGATGAGTTGGGATTTAAAGTGCTTTTAATCAACTTTATTGAGGTGTAATTTGCATACAAAATACATGTACTTTAAAGATATATTTCTTGAGATTTGACCTGGTTCAATCCCATCCCAGTCAAGATCTAGAACATTCCAACGCCACAGACATTTTCCGCTTGCCTCTTCATAGTGTAGCCTCCCACTCTGCCCCAGGCAACCACCGGTCCAATTTCTATCACCCAAGATTATTTTTGTCTGCGGTCATGCACTGCATAATGACTTGGGCAATGATGGACCGCAGATAGGACGGTGCTCCCGTAAGAATATAACGGAGCTAAAAAATTCCTATTGCCTAGTGAGGTCGTAGCATTGTGATGTTGGGACTTCGTAGTGCAAGGCGTCACCCACGTGCTCGCGGTGATGCTGGTGTAAACAACCCTCCGTGCTGTCCCTCGTGCAAAAAATAAAGTGCGTACAATTATGTGCAGGCCACAGCACTCGATAACGGCAGCAAATGACTTCCTGGTTCATGTATTGACTACGCTGTGCTTTTTCTCGTTAGAGTTTACTCTTTCCACTTACAAAAAGAGCTTGCTGTAAATAGGCCTCATTCTCAGTGGCTCTGTAGTGCAGCCGCGCGTGGCTATGTTGTTGTTCACCTCGCTGCCTGGTGCTCGCCCAGAGGCCATGCAGGCCCCCGCGATGAACACGCTGCAGCAGAGAGCTTTGTATTCCGTCTTGGCGCGCCCCCTCGATTACCTGCTTAGACAGCCTCTGAGCCAAGTGAACCCTCTGGACTGTTCTTTGTTATTTGCCTTAATTTAAATTGGCAGGGACGGGGGTGGGGGTGGGGTGGGTGGAGGTGGAAGAGGGTATGGGAAGGGTGAATGGTAATGGAAAAGATACAATTAAAATCAATAACCTGGCGGTGATCTGTGCACAGAGGGAACGGAGTGCCCGTGATCCGGCTTCTTTGGGGGAGACACAGCAGCATAGTGAGTGAGGGCAGGGGTTAGCAAGCTGGCAGCAAGCGAGGTGGTTTTGTAGGGCTCTTGAGCTAAGAAGTGTTTTTTAAAGATTTTATTTATTTATTTTGAGAGAGAGAGGAAGGGAGAGAGGGGGGAGAGAAACATCAATCGGTTCCTCCCATCCGCACCCCAAGTGGGGAGCAAACCAGCAGCTTTTCGCTTTGCTGAAAAACACCCAGTCCACTGAGCCACACCAGTCAGGGCGTAAGAATTTAAAAAACTAAATAAAAAATGAATGGACTATGAATAAAAGAAACAGAAATAAGAAAGTGTGATACAGACCAGTGTGGCAGCAGAGCCTGAGGTATGGACCACCTGCTCCTTTAGAAACGGCCGTGGACCCCTGGTTCGGGGCGTCGTGGACCGGGCAGGGTCTGGTTGGACCTGGCCCTGCCCGCCGCTCCTGGCTGAGGACTGGCCGCGGCCAAGCCCCTCAGTTCCTTGGGCTCCAGTTCTGCCTCTTCAGCGGTAAACCGGGGGCCGTGAGAGGTCGGAGAGGGTTGGGAGCCACAGGGCTTTTTTTTTTTTTTAAATCTGAAATTGTGGAAACCAAAGTAGCTTGACTATACATGTGGCTCAGGGGTGGACCTGTCACCGTCATGCTTGTCCTGGGCACTGGGCGTGGCACTGGGCATCCAGCTTGTGACCTGGCTCCGCCATGTAGCTGGACACATAGGGCACACACACCAAAGACACTTTAAAAAAACAACAGAGAAACCACATACTGCAGCTCAAAATAGCGTGGGGCTAAGTGGCAATCCAATGCCCTTGATGACGGTGCAAAAGGTGGGGAAAAAATCCCTAAAAATCTGGCTTCAAGTGAGGAGGCTTGGAATTTAGAACCTTGAACCCTGTCATTGTCATGTGACCATTTTAAATGTCAGCTTCTAATCATCTGTTCCCCTTTGAAGTGCCCACTTCTGGGAGACGGTGGCCCACCAGGGAAGGGGGGCCGTGGTGGCGGTGGATGACCCCGGTTATGCCCGTGGCCTGCTGGTGCTCAAGACTTGGGGGCTGGGGACTCTGAGCAGCACAGGGTCGTTGGGGGGCTCAGAAGATGGTCTGAGGGTCCCAGTGGCATGTGCGGAAGGGACCGAGCCTTCTGTCCTGAGGGCTACAAGGCTGGGGCAGCCACGGGGAGCAATAGCTGGAGAAGCCTGTGACCTCCCTTCTTGGGAATCACAAAGGTAATGCCCAGCAGTCACTAGTGAAGGGTCCCCTGGTCCCACTGGTCAATACTGCGCGATTTTAAAACAACAGAACTACCTGAAATACACTGGTTTGTCCCCCCAGGTCCCTGCCGAGGCCTCTCACTCCAGCTGGCCCCCGCCACCCCCGTCGCTGTCCACAGAGAATGCGGGTGTTGGCTGCTTCCTGGGGGAGTCGCGGAGCTTGCAGGTGGGTCCCCGGCATCCTGACCCAGGGGCCGCCCTTAGGCGCAGGCCGAAGAGGGAGTACGGGTTTTTCTTTTTAGGTAAAACAAGGGAATTGTGTTCATGATTTTTTTTTTTCAAGACCTCTCTTAGAGAAACATACACTTATGAAATGATATGATATCTGGGATTCGCTGCAAAAAAGAGCAAGTGGGAGCATTAGATGAAGCAAAGCCGAGTGGGCCACGATTCACTGAGGAAGCTAATCATGGCAATGGGCACGTGGGGGCGCATTACGGGACGGTCTGTCGCTTTCCACTCCCCTGCACCCTCGATAAGTTAGCGAGAGGGAACGTGAGCAGGGCCTTTGGGTCTGAGGAGTCTGGGTTTCAGCTTTAGCTCTACGCTTCTGCCAGCGAGACCCAGACAAGAAGGCGCCCCGTCCTCATCTGAAAAACAGGGCGACCTCCACTGCCTCGGAGATGACTGGGGGAGTCTCTCGTGAGCTGATGCCCCGCGTCTAATCCGCCCCAGTACCTCCTGTTCCGCCTGGGGGTCTGGGGTGCTGGCGGGCCATTCGGGGTGGGAGGGGCTCACGGGAAGGGCAAGGGACCCACCTCCCTCCAGCGGACACAGCCTCTGCCTATCACTAAAGCAGCCCCCACTCCACTTACATCTCTGGTTGGTTTGGACCTTTGTTGGCAACAGTTTGCAGCTAGAATCAGCAGATTCCCGGGGATGGTTTCTGCTAAAACATTGGGTGGTGGAAGCATTTATTTATTGTTATTTTTTAAGATTTTATTTATTGATTTTCAGAGAGAGGGGAAGGGAGGGAGAAAGGGAGAGAGAGAAACATCGATGAGAGAAACGTTGATGTGAGAAATATCAGTTGGTTGCCTCTCACGCACCCCCAGCAGGGAACGTGGCCTGGAATCCAGGCCTGTGCCCTGACAGGGAATCGAACCAGCGACCTCTTGGATCACAGGCTGGTTCTCAATCCACTAAGCCACACCAGCCAGGGCATAGTAATTTATTTTTATATGTTATCTTTTGAAAGAATTATAATTTACAGGAAGTTGCCCAAAACGCACCAGGAGGTCCCATGTGCCCCCAGGGGCACCGCGTCTTTGGTGTGTCTGTACTACGGTATCACAGCTGGAAAAGTGGCGCTGGGAGCGCCCAGAGCTGGGTCTGATTTCACCAGTTCTTCGTGCTCCCAGTGTGAGTCCCAGGGTGGGGTCCTCTCGCCCCAGTGCCCAGGCAAGGGGTGTGCGGCTCAGAGAACTGCAGTAGCTCCCCCGGGCACCGGCAGGCCATGTGGCTGAGCCAGGACGCGAGGCCATGGTCCTGCACGTGACCGCTAGCCCCCCGCCCTTAGCAGTGGCCGCAGCATCTAACCCAGGACTCTCGTGTTTTCCCACAGGTGAGACCAGGCCAGAATGGGGGACACCAGGGACCTCTGCCCTCACCTTGACTCTATAGGGGAGGTGACCAAAGATGACTTGCTGCTCAAATCTAAGGTACGGGGCCGAGACGCACGCTCAGGGCCTCTGCGCTTCGGGGGCACATGTTTCTGAAGCAGCAGCAGATGGGCCCCTGTCACCCTCTGCTGGCCCTTCTGTGGAAGGGGCCGAGCTGGCGTCTGCTCGGGTGGCATGCGGGGCTGTGTCCTGGCGGCCTCGGCTATCACCTCTCCCCCGCGCCCTGGGAGGCACCGCCGCGCTGTCCGCCCGCGGCCGGAGCGGGTGCGCAGGGCCGGGACTGAACACCCTGGCACTCCGCGGGCATTTCCACCTGCGCGGCCCGCAAGGGCCCAGGGAGGCCCGGGCGCGGGGCGGCCGCTGTGACTGGGGAGGGCACGTCATCGTCTCTGTCAATGAAAATTCCTTGACTGTATAACACTTACGCATGGTTACAAAATGAGAGATTATAAGAATAGAGATGTCAAGAAGCCCTCTTCCGGTCGCTGCCCCCCGCCCCAGCCCACCCTCAGGTAACCACTTAGATTAGTTTCTTTTGTACCCATTCAGAGTTTCTTTATGCCAACATAAGCAATTTTGATTATCTTCCCTTTTCCCCTTTGTTTCATAAGAGACAGCCTGCTGCAGGCCCTTTCATGGCTTTATTCAGATGACAGTATGCCTTGGAGGCCTTTGACACTGGTCTGCAGGGACAGCTTTTTCGTCGTTTGTCTTGAAGTTGCCACCTATTCCACGTGTGGGTTCCATGACAGACCCTCCGCGGGTGGCACCTGGGCTCTCGGCCACCGCCCGCCAAAACACATGAGCTGCGATGATGGCCTTGCAGAAATGCCACCGCTGCGTGGCGAGAGCCCGTGCAGGGCGCCGTCCCAGGAGCGGGGCTGCCGGGGCAGGTCCCTGGGCGTACGGTCGGCTCCTGGTTCCAGGCACCGAATGCCGGTGGTTCAGCCTCCCTGCACCAGCGGGCCAGGGTGGCCCTTGGCCTGGGCGGGCTCAGTCCCGGCCTGTGGGAGCAGTCAGCTCTTCGAAGGACCTGTGGCTTCTTTGGAAGTAGCTCCGCCTGTCGTGTGAAGGAGGGACCGAGCAAGGCTTGGGCACTGTCCACGGCCGGGTTTTTTCCGAGCCTGCACAGAGGAGTAAGAGAGCCACGGCACGAGGACTTTTCCTCCAGCGGAGGCAGGACTGGGGGACCTGGAAGCAGGGGGTGAACCAGGTGGGATGAGGGATGCTGGCAGGGGGCAGCCTTTTGGAGGAGTTAGCGTCTCTGTGGCAGAAAGACCGAGAGCGCTTGGGGACACTCAGCCCCGCGTTTCTGAGAGCATGTCCTCAGCGCCTCTCTGGGCATCGGGAATCGACAAAGTGAAGCCAGTGTTGTTTAAAGATACCTGGAGGGGGGAAGGGATATGAACAGGCAGCTCACCAGGAGGAAAAGTGAACTATCTCCCGCAAGCCGCTGTGCTCCAGGGTCCTTTGTTGCAGGAGTGGAAACTGTGCCCTGCCCGGTTTTCCTAGGGCTGATGGGCTGCCTCTGCCATTTCCATGTCCAAGTCCCCGGCAGTGGCTTCAGCTCCCCCATCACAGCCGCATTCCAGGCCTCGGAAGAAAGGGAAGAGGAGCGGTCGTGCACAGCTCCCGAGTGGCACATGCCACTTTCGCTGTCATCCACCCCGTGAAGTAGAACTGAGCTCTGTGATCACAGCGGGGGCTGGGAAACCGCCTGCAGCGGCTCGCAACGCGCACGCACTCTGTCTGCCCTTAAAGCGGGAAGGGGAGGTGCTGGGGGATGGGATGAAGCTCCGTCACCCCGACCGCCAGGGACCTGGGTGTTTTCTGTGGTCAACAGACACATTGTTCTCCCAACTCGTACCAGACCCTGTGAAGTCACAGGAGTCGACAGAGCAGACCGGCTCTTTTTCACGGAGCCCACGGTCTGGCTGGGGAGAGAGGGCAGGGTCAAGGGGAGGTGAGGTCACAGACGAAGGGGTCTAAGCTCCCAATGACTTCATTGAAAATGTTTTTGCAGGCACGCGATGAAACAACATTCAAACGATAAAGTGCGGAACGGGAAACCGAATTTAGATGGGGGTGGGGGCCGGAGAGGGGCCACTCTGAGGCAAAGGGAGCCTTTAAGCCGGACACTTAGGGCCTGAGAGTCTGCAGGGCGGAGCAGGCGGGGCTCCGGAGGGCCCCCCCCCCCCCCCACCTGCCGCAGGTTGTCACCCTTGGCTGTTTCTCTTTCACCTCCAGCAGGGAGCCTGCCAGTCATGTGGCGTTTCTGGGCCGAACCTGTGGGCCTGCCTCCAGGTAGGGCTCCTTGCGGCTGCCGGGGGCGGGGAGCGCAGCCCAGACGGGGCTGGGAGCACGCGTCCCCGTGGGTGCTGTGGGAACCTTGGGGGGGACACAGGGCATGGGTGTCTCAGGCGCGGTTCCCCAGACAAGAGAGCCCCCGAGTCAGTGAGCCCCTGGCTGGATGCCTTGGCAGCCGTGAGGAATGACAAGAGGAAAAAGCAGGTGGGAGAAGATTCTGGACGAGCGGCCCCATCTGCACAGAGGGCAGGACTGTCTACGCTCACGCGCCCACGGGCCTTGATGCAGGCGTCTCGCTCGGGCCCGGGCACTCTGAGCAGCAGCCTGCCCAGCCGTGGGGCTGGGACCGCGGCACGGATGGCGGTTGCCCTCGTGGGGCCCGGCCCCGGGCAGAGTCTGAGGAGACGCCGCCTGTGGCGGGCTCTGTGGGCTGTGTGGCCATAGGCAATGCCCAGTAGAATCTGGTCGTGTTTTCATTACCATTATTGTTTACAAAAAAGGACTAGCCGATAGGACAGTTTTCAGTGGGTAGTGGGATTGTGGGTAATTTTTATTTTTTCTCTAATTCCAGAGTATTTTTCAAATTTTCTACATGTATATATTTGCAGCATTTTAAAATTAAACTAAAAATGACCGTTACTGAAAATTTCATTGAAAACAAATAGAAGTAGGAAAAAAACAGCTTTGGGTGGTGAGGACATGACAGCTCAATCTTGTCGCTGCAGAAAACACAGGGCCCCCCCGGGGAGTCTGGCCTCGCTGGCCTCTTCCTTTGGCCCTGACATCAGCATAAAGCGGATCGTGAGACACTGTCCGGGCCCTCGGCGGGGGCGGGGGGCAGCAAGAAGTGTGAGACAAGGGCCTGCGTCCTGGCAGCCCCCAGGGAGACAGACACAGAGCCTTGTGTAGAATGGGATGCCTCCTTTGCCCCTGGAAAGGCCCTCAGCAGCCTGTGCACTGTGGACAGCAGGAGGGAATCCTGGGTCTTGGTTGCGGGGGGTAGATTTGGGATAGGAGAGGGCAAGGCCAGAGGCAGGGGCATTGGGGCCCCGCCGGCCGCACTGTGGACACCGGGTGCGCGTGGGCCCCCCGCCTCTGCCCGCTCTGCACCCCCATTAGGAAATGGCTGAGGCCCAGGCATCCGCACCAGAAATGTGGATCCCAGTAACTGGCCCGTCGAGAATTTGGTGGGAAGGGGACACGCGGAGGCGGACCCCTTGCCCAGCCTTTCTGCGGGAGAGCGGTGGCCCCGGGCACCCTGCCTATCCCACTTGGAGCCGGGGCAGCTTCTCTGGGGGCCATTCCCACGCCTGTGAGGGGGGACACCTGTGTTGCTGCCACGCAGCAGGCCCGTCCTGTTGCGTGGAGTCCTCTTGATGGAGGAGGGGGACACGGGCTCACTGTGCCGGCACTGTCCCCTTGGCGAGCCCCAACTCCCCCCTCTCTCCCCAGGTCACCTGCCCCTACGTTGGCTGCGGAGAGTCCTTCGCTGACCACAGCACCATTCACGCGCAGGTGAGTGTGGTGGCCGGAGCCTGGGCTCGCAGGCAGGCAGCCCCGAGTTCAAAGCCGGCTCCAGCTCCTCCCAGCGCCCCTCTCCCGCTCTGGGCTGCGCGGCCGTGTCTATGAGACAGGGAGAGCCATAAGCGCGGCAGCGGGAGCTAACTCAGGGGCAAGCGCGCGCCGGCACGATGACGGCCTTGGCGCTCCTGGCTGTGGAGCAAGCAGACCCTGCCCGCCAGGCCTGCGTCCCAATAGGGCCGTTCCCCGGGCGCCGAGAGCGGAGGCAGCCCCGAGGCAGGCTTGGGGCGCCCTGTTGGGCCAGTGCATCCTTGACCTTGTTTTGAATCTTGCCTTCCAGGTCAAAAAGCACAACCTGACCGTGAACCTGACCACGTTCCGGGTGTGGTGTTACGCCTGCGAGAAGGAGGTGTTCCTGGAGCAGCGGCTGGCGGCCCCCCTGCCCGCCTCCTCTCCCAAATTCTCCGAGCAGGTGAGGGGTGCAGTGGGGTTGCCTCCTTTGGTGGTAACACATGTGGAGGGCGGGGTTGTGCGACCTGAGCCCCAGGGTGAGTGGGTCCCGGACAGCGTCCGTCCCTGGTCGCCCTTCCCTGGACTCTGAGGAGCTCCTGTCAGAGGGTGCTCTGCAGCCCAGCCCTCACGTAGTTGGTGCTCGGTGGTGTTTATGAAACACATTTGCGGACATAGTAGCTGTTTGTGATTTTTTTTTTTTTTACAAAAAAGGCTATAAAACAATGCATAAAATATCCTGTTTTGGGGGTGTGTGCGTATTAACAGTTAAAAATTTATACAGATACATATAGGCTTTTTTGACACATTGAGACCTCTAACAGTGGTTGTCTCAGGAAAGTTGGATTGCACGTTGTTATTCTGTTTTCCAAATTTATTGTGCCGGCTCCTCCCTCGCTGTCCCCTACTCGGCAGGGCTGACTCGGCGCTGGCCCGGGCTGGGCAGCTGGGCTGCCCACCCCTGCGACCCCTGGGCCTCCCCCCCTCCCCCTCCCTCCTCACCCCCTCGCTTTCCTCACTCTGGGCCTTGAACACAGGACCCTCCACTGCCCTCCCACCCTCTGAAAGCTGTCCCCATTGCCGTGGCCGATGAAGGGGAGTCTGAGTCAGAGGATGATGACCTGAAGCCTCGAGGTAACGGCCATCAGAGCTGGGGGAGCTGGGGGCTTGGGTGGGCGGGGCTCAGTTCCGGGCAGGGAGGCTGCACACACAGGGTGTCGGGTGGGTGGCGGCTCCCCTTGGAGTGCCAGCTGCCCCGCCGGGTCCTCCTGCCCGGTCTCTACCGTGTGACCTCGGGAAGGCTGGCCCCTCGCCTGTCCCGTGTCGACAGTGGGCCGGGCTGGTGGGGGGCACAGTTGTCCTGTTTGGTACATTCCGGTGACCATAGCTGGTGAGAGGGAACCGTATTTACTTACTTGCTGGCTCTCTGGACTGGAACACCAGCTGCCTGTGTCGCGTGTCCTCCTGGGGCTGGGTCCTGGTGGCTCAAGAGCCACGGCTCATCTCTAAGTGTGGACTGGCAGGGGGTTCTGGCTGGGCAGGGCGCTCACCGGCCCTCCCCGTGGGCACCGGTCTCCTAGGCCTCACGGGCATGAAGAACCTCGGGAACTCCTGCTACATGAACGCTGCGCTGCAGGCCCTGTCCAACTGGTAGGTTGTCACCTCATTGGGGAGGCGGGACCAGGCGCTGTCCCCAGGAGCCTGGAAATAGCAGCAGCAGCCCCCAAGCTGTGGCGCATGCGCCCACAGACACATGTATATGGATACACATCAACCCCCTAAAGACACACGTGCCCTTTGACCCAGCGATCCCTCCTAGCGGAATCCATCCTAAGCTGTGGAGGAGGTTGCATGTGTAGGTGTTCGTCACCCTGTGGCTCACTGGAAACAGTCAAAAGGTCCATAGAGTCTGGAAGGACACACCCCCAAGTCTCTAGAGTAGCTTTCTTCACCTGGTCGGATTAAGGCCCTTTGCTACTTGGCTTATCCATAGTTTTTCTACAATGAATGTCTATTTCCTGTCTAATGAGATAAGTTTTAAAACCCTAAAGAGCCCTGGCTAGTGTGGCTCAGTGGATTGAGCACCAGCCTGCGAACCGAAGGGTTGCTGGTTCGATTCCCAGTCAGGACACATGCCTGGGTTGTGGGCCAGGTCCCCAGTTGGGGGGCGTGTGAGAGGCAACCAATAGATGTCTCTCTCACACGTTAATGTTTCTCTCCCTCTCTTTCTCCCTTCCTTCCCCTCCCTCTAAAAATAAATTTAAAAACCATTAAAAAAAAAAACCCTTTAAGGAAAGGGGCTCAGGACGGTTCCCACAGAATGGGCTGATGGGAGGGGCAGGGGCTGGCACCTCTCATGTTCACACAACCGGCCCTGAAGTGGGGCGCTGACCGTCACACACCCCACAAGCCAAGTGGCTGAAAGGACGGAAGTGCAGCCTCTCTCCGCTCTGAGGCTGGGCTGGGGTCTTCTGAGTCCTCCCTGCTCCACGTACTGTGGCGGCCTCCTCCCTGCGTCCTCACGTCTCTCCCCCGACCCCGTGCATGCTGTGTCCAAATTTCCTCATAATCGGACACCAGTGACACTCGATTAGGGCCCGGAGACCCTATGTGCGAATAGTCACACACTGAGGCACGGCGGGGTTAGGACTCCATCACATAAATGTGGGGGATGCAGTTCGGCTCCTTCTAGTCGTCCGTGGGCACCTCTGGCCCCAGGGGGCTGCAGTACGGCCCCACACAAGCACTCTCCGCACCGCCCCCCGCCCCAGGGAGCCTTGCCTCTCCTCCCAGCGCTTTCTAACCCACGCCTCGCTCCCCCCACTCTTGCTCCTGACCCGGCTCACTCCCCCGTCCCAGCCCGCCGCTGACCCAGTTCTTCTTGGAGTGTGGAGGCCTGGTGCGCACAGACAAGAAGCCTGCCCTGTGCAAGAGCTACCAGAAGCTGGTGTCTGAGGTCTGGCACAGGAAACGGTGAGCGGCAGCCCCTCCCCTGGGCAGGTGTGTAGGGACGGGGGTTTCCGCTGAGCCGCCCCATCGAGCGCTTCCCAGCCATTCGGCCCTCCTGCTTGTGGCGGCCCTGCCAGGCGGAGGTCCGCGCTGCGGAGGTTGCAGCCAGCCCTGTCTTATAAGCTGGGGCACTGTGTTTCAGAGAGATTCAGGTGTCTTGCGCATGGTCGCAGCTTCTGAGAGACAGAGCTAGAATTTGCACCCGGTGCTGATCCGAGCCGGCAGCCACTTCACAGATGGGTGTGTGCTGGGCCAGACACCCTCCGTGACCTGTCGTGGGTCACAGCCAGGGCTGTGCATGTAGGCAGCAACCTCCTGCCTGGTAGCTGGCGTTTCCGCTTGGTGTGAGAGGAACTTAAAGCCCAGAAGCTTGGATTACACCCATTTCTCCAGAAAAAGCCACATGTGGGAATAATTTAAAGTGATGGCGTAGAGATGTATTAAGTGCAGAAGCAGATTCTAAAGTGGTACAGTGCAATAGAACTCCAGTTTCGTAAGAAGCCAAGTTTGTTCAAGTACATCCATTGTATGTAATCTTGTATATGTGTCTGTATTTTCAAAGAAAAGTCTAGAAATCTTAACGGTAGTTACCTCTGGGTGGCAGTGTTCATGGTAATGTTTCTTTGTTAGCTTTTTCTGAAATTTTAGATTTTTCTTTTTTCCTTTGCAGTGACAGTTGACATTAAATACTATCTTAGTTTCAGGTGTACAGCATGGTGGTTAGACATTTATATAACTCACGAAGTGGTCCCCTGATAAATCTAGCACCCACCTGGCACCGTACATAGTTACTCTAATATTGCCTACATTCCCTATGCTGTACTAGATTTTCCAATAGTGAACACGTGTTACCTTTGAAATTAGAAAACCCGCAATAACATTTTAGAACGAAAACAGCTTTGGAGTAGGCCTGTCGTGGACTCATGGGGGACAGTGGCTCTGGTCAAGAGCCCTTTGCCTGGAGGCGCCAGCACTTGCCATTTTCCTTCTGGGCCGCGGAGGCGCGGGAGCCTGCCCGGGCTCCAGCCGGTCCCCACCTCCTGGAGGTGGGTAAGCCCCTCGCTGAGTCCGATCCCTCCTGTTGGCTGTCCTCCCGCCAGCCGGCCCTCAGGGCATGGAGGGCTCAGAGCAGCTGCCTGTGCTAATGGGTCTGGTCTTCCCACAGCCCAAGCTACGTGGTTCCCAGCAGCCTGTCCCACGGGATCAAGTTGGTCAACCCGATGTTCCGAGGCTACGCCCAGCAGGTAGGCCGTGTGAGCTGCTCACGGGACACCCAGGGCCCTTACCGACCAGGCCTGGCTGTGAAGCCAAGACCCGCGTGGAAAACGGTGGCAGAGGCTGAGTGCTCTGAGGCGGGTCCTGTCACCGCCTGAGCCCCCCACGTTGAGGACACTGGAGCCTCCTGGCCACCTGCTGGCATTGTCCCCACTTAACAGACAGGGAGACCGAGGCCCCCCGGCCAAGCCACCCGCCCAGGTTACACAGCAGGTATGTAGTGGGGAGAAACTTCACCACAGGCCGTCTAACCCCGGAGCCTGTGCATCCAGAGCGGCGAGTGGTCTCTTGTTTTCCAAACTGCAGGCAGAGTCCCACTGTGATTCAAGTCAGCGTTTGGTTACAAGTTTTGCAACCCTGGAGGGCCCTTATGAAACTGCCATCTCCCATGGCACGAAACGATGGACCAAGACAAAGCCGAGCACAGCCACATACGTGTCCCGGCCCCGGCCCCGGCCCCACACCGTCACGGCTGGGGTCGTGCTGCTGGGCTTGAGGGCAGCTGGGCCTGCCTGGGTCGCTGCCCCTGCTGCCGGGATGTGGGGGCCAGCACGGCCACTGCGGGGTGCCTTCGGCCCCCTCCGCCCTGCCTCCCGTCCCTCCCTGGGCCGAGGCTGCTGGGCGGCCCTCTGCGCACACCCTCAGCTGGGCACGTGCCAGGCTCTGGACTGAGAAGCCTGGCGCGGCCCGAACACCACCCTTGGGGAGTGGCCATGTCTACAAAGGGATCAGAATCCAGCGTCCACCCTTTATGAAGGGGTCACTGCCCGCTACGTAGGCACAGCCCTACTTATCCCCACAGGACCCTCTTCGAGGGGCCCTGCCCTCACCCCCATGGTATAGGCAAGAAGCCGAGGCTCAGAGAGGTTTCGCAGCTTGCCCAGGCCACACCGCACACGGAGGCAGGGGCGGGAGTCAGGCCTCGCGGAACCGTCCCTTCCCAGGCACACGGAGGACACAGCGCAGGGGGCCACTCCGCTCACGGCTGCCTCACAGCTGCCTCCAGCAGGGGCATTGCTGGGTCTAAGTGCAGACGCAGCTGAGGGCCCCGCGGTGACCGGAGGACGCGGTCTGCCGTGCTCCGCCATGGCTCGAGATTTTAGCGACCAGCACAGTCTTGTTCAAAGGAAGTACCAGGAAGAACAGTCGATGGCGCATGGAGAGCCCAGTTCTTAAAGACCCACTCAGGGCCCCAGGCATGGCACACACAGGTCTCCTCCCTGCTCCCCCCACCCCCAAAGGTCACGCTTAGTCCCTCTGCTCTGAGTCTGCACGCGGGCCCTCCCTTCCCTCTGCTAGAGCGGGGAGAGGAGGCCGCCCTACCTGTGTCTGACATGCGGCGTTGGGTGCTTGGCTGGGTCCAGCCACGGCCTGACGCCCGCCTCCTGTGGTCAGCAGCTGGGTGCTGCTTCTGGTGCCCGAGTCAGGGACTGCGAGGAACAGAGCTGGACTTTGAACCCAGTGGCCCAGCAGGGTACCCGGTGCCCCCAGTTTTGGGAGGCCCCCTGCCGGCACCACCTTCAGGCCTTTGGAAGCGCGTCCTGTGTGGGCCCTGCTGGTGGCTGGGCTCAGGGACAGGCTGTGCCCGAGGCCTTGTTTCCCTGGCTTCCCCTGGGCTGGCGACGTACTCGCAGAGTAGTCAGAAGTGTCAGTATTACGACTTGAGACCTGAAGGGACAGCTTAGTCCAAGTCACGCCCAGGTGTGCAGGAAGGTGAGACCCTGTGCTCCCGCCACGGGTCGCCCTGGCGAGGGAAGGTGGCCCTGGGGCACGGGCAGGACTGGGAGAGCCTGGAGAGTGGGAGGCAGGTCCGGGATGCGGGTGGCCTGGCCTGCAGGTGGCGCTGTTCCCTGCGGAACTCTGCTGAGCCCTCAGGGCGCCCGCTGCTTTGGTGTTACCTTCCTTCTTCCTGGGGCTCCCTCCTGCCTGCCTCTAGGGTCCCCTCCTTCAGGGAGCAAGGTGACTTTAATGGCTAAACGTGACACCTCTGCTCTCTCTCACGCTGAGTCGGAAGCAGGGCCACAGTTAATGCAGGGCATCTGCTGGTTAGTCAGGTGGATGCAGCAGGGACCAGGGCTCTGCCACCTGCCAGCTGCCGTGTGACCTGGGAGGGGGTGCCTGGGCCCCTCTGCACCCTAGTGCCCAGCAGGGGGGCGGGAGGTTGGGACAGACGGCCGTGGAGGCTGCTGTGAGGGGCCAATTGGTGCGTCTGCCCCGGGCTCCTGCAAGGACTGCTCGGTGCCTGGCTGGGCCCTGGGAAGCAGCAGGGGGCTTGCGGCAGCTTCCTCCCGGCCCAGGCGAGGCCCGCTGACGCCACCGCGGTTCCAGGACACCCAGGAGTTCCTGCGCTGCCTGATGGACCAGCTGCACGAGGAGCTCAAGGAGCCGGTGGTGGCAGCAGCGGCGACCCTGGCGGAGGCTCGGGATTCGGACTTGAGCGACACAGATGAGAAGAGGGAGGGCGACCGGAGCCCATCAGAGGACGAGTTTCTGTCCTGCGACTCGAGCAGCGACCGGGGCGAGGGCGACGGGCAGGGCCGGGGCGGGGGCAGCTCGCAGGCCGAGGCAGAGCTGCTGGTCGCTGAGGAGGCGGGCCGCGCCATCTCTGAGAAGGAGCGGATGAAGGACCGCAAGTTCTCCTGGGGCCAGCAGCGCACTAACTCCGAGCAGGTGGATGAGGACGCGGACGTGGACACTGCCATGGCCGCCCTTGACCGCCAGCCCATGGAGGCGCAGCCGCCCTCGCCGCGGTCCGCCAGTCCCTGCCGCACCCCAGGTATCGCCAGCTGCTCGGGGAGCCGCAGCCATGGGTCCAGCACCTACTGGGTGCCATGCGCCGACATGCTCAGTCCTCCCGCCACCCTGGGGGGGTTTCTACCACAAGACCCTACTTCCAGGGTCTCAGAGTCCCTGGAAATAGACTCAAGTCCAGACCCACTGAGCCGATAAAGCTGGTGTGGGATTCAGAGCCCTCCCTGCAAACATGAAGTGCATGGGCACAGACAGGGGACACGGGGGCTCAGGCCTTGGTCCCTTTAGGAGGTGCCGGGGGCCCTCTTTCTGACCGGGCCCTGCAGCTGGCTTGGCTGCCACGGCCCAGCACAGCCCCCGCTCTGCCGCAGAGCCCGACAACGAGGCCCACATGCGTAGCACGTCCCGGCCCTGCAGCCCCGTCCACCTCCACGAGGGCCACACCAAGCTACCCAGCGGCCCTCCTCGCGCGAGCCCCGTGAGGATGGCGCCGTCATACGTGCTCAAGAAAGGTTCGGCGGGTTCGGCAGGGAGGGGAGGTCAGCGGGGCACCGCGCGGAGCTTGGGGCCTGGAGCGGAAGTCCACTCCCTGCCCGGGCTGCGCTCCTCACGCAGCGGCTGTGAGCCCCCTAACACCACTGGGACCTGAGTGGGGGAGCCCCGTCTTACAGACTGTGACTGAGGCACCGGGAGGGGAATTGCATACCCGGTCACAGGGCCTAGATTTGACCCCATGTCTTGGCCAAGCGAGCCCCTGCTCCCGCCCTGGGCCCAGCTGGGCTGGACCTAGTTCCCTGCTGTGCCCCCAGCCCAGGTGCTGAGCGCTGGCAGCCGGCGGCGGAAGGAGCAGCGCTTCCGCAGTGTCATCTCCGACATCTTCGACGGCTCCATCCTCAGCCTGGTGCAGTGTCTCACCTGTGACCGGGTGAGTGCCCTGCGGTGAGGAGCGTGTTCCGGCTCCAGCAGCCTCCGTGGTCCTCGCTGGGATTGGGGTGGGGAGCGTATGCGCAGCCTGAAGCCCCACCTTTCCCCAGGGCGGGGGCCCTGGCCGCAGGGGGCCCACATCCAGGAGCTGGGGAGCTGGCCCCTGCCTCACACCGGCCAGCTGGTGGCTGGGACTCGGGGTGCAGACTCTGCTTGGTCTGAGCAGGACAGAACTCTGGAAGGTGGGCCCCCAGGATGACCTTTAACCCCACAGGTGTCCACGACGGTGGAGACATTCCAGGACCTGTCACTGCCCATTCCTGGCAAAGAGGACCTGGCCAAGCTCCACTCGGCCATCTACCAGAACGTGCCGGCCAAGCCGGGCGCCTGTGGGGACAGCCACACGGCCCAGGGCTGGCTGGCCTTCATCATGGAGTACATCCGACGGTACGCCCTCCTCCGCCCGCCGGAGACACGCGCCCTGGCCCAGGCCCCTGGGACCCGCCACCTGGGCGGGCGGCAGACCTGAAACGGCAAATAAAGCACCAGCGTTTGTCGGGACGAGGGCAGAGTCCAGAAGGGAGCTGCTGGCTGAAGGGTGCATGGGGGCCAGCTGGGTGGGGCGGGGGTGCCGCTCATCCCCTTGGGGCGGCCTGGAGGGGGTGGGCCCTCGGACTGGACGGCAGGGAACGGCAGGCGTGGCCAGGCAGCAGCGAGAGGAGGGCGGCGGCTGGAGCCCAGGCCGGGCCCCGCAGCCCCCACTGTGCCCCAGCGCCTGCTCTGCCCGCCGCGCGGGAGGGACACGGCCGGCGTGGTCAGGCCCCTGCACAGCTGAGCACGGCAAGGCTCAAGGACACTACTGGCCTGCTGGCGGGTGGTCCCAGGCGCCTGGCTCCTGACCTCCGCCCCTGGGCCCCAGCGCTGACCCTTCCCCGGGCCCTGGCCGCGCCCCCGCCACCCCGTCTGTCTCCATAGGTTTGTGGTATCCTGTACCCCCAGCTGGTTTTGGGGGCCCGTCATCACCCTGGAAGACTGCCTCGCCGCCTTCTTCGCCGCCGACGAGCTGAAGGGTGCGTGGGCCGGGCGGGCGGGCGCGGTTGCTAGGCCGGCTGCGACTGCGTGTTCCCCCGGTCCACCCCCTGGAGCCCCGCTGTTGTTCTTTTCTTACCGATTGGGTGGACAGAAATAACTGCCGTGTTGCACGTCTTTGATTATTGATTCGCGTGAACATTTCTTTTGTAAGTGTATTGGCTGTTCATATTTCCTGTTTGGAAATTTCCCGTTTCTGTCCTTTTCCTGTTGTTCTGCTGAGCCTGGCTAGGACGTCAGTGCCTGCGGGATAGGGCGCCCTCGTCCCGTTCCGGATCATAGAGGGAAAGCCTTTGGCTTTTCCCGGTGCGTCTGAGGTTCGCTGCGGGCCTGTCATGTGCGGCCTGCGTTACGCTGAGGCGTGTTTCTTCTGTGCCCGATTTGTTGAGATCTTTTATTATGAAAAGATGGGTATTGAAATTTGTCCAATGATTTTTTTGTACCCACTGAGAGGATGATTTTATCCTTCTATTAATATAGTCTATTGTGTTTATTGATTTGCATGCTGAACCATCCTTGCATCCCAGGGATACATCCCACTTGGTTGCAGTGCATGATCATTTTAATGGGCTGTTGAATTTGGTTGGCTTGAGTTTTTCCATCTATATTCATCAGGGACATTGGCTTGTAATTTTCTTGCAGTTTCCTTACCTGGCTTTGGCGCAAGGGTAATGCTGGCCTTGTAAAATGAGTCTGGGAGTGCACCTTCCGCTCTAATTTTTTTGGAGAGTTTGAGAAGGGCTAGGGTTAGTTCTTCTTTAGATGTTTGGTAGAATTCACCTGTGAAAGCGCCTCGGCTTTTCTTTGTTGGGAGGTTTTTTTACTGCTTCAGTCCTTTTAGTCATTATTGGTTGGTTCGGATTTTCTCTTTCTTACTGGTTCAGCCTTGGTAGGTTGTATGTTTCTAGGCATTTACCCATTTTTCCTAGGTTAGCCAGCTGGTTGGTGTGGTCTCTTCTGATCCTTTAGCGTTTCTGTAGCATCAGTTGTAACATCTTCTCTTCATTTACAATTTTGTTTATGTGAGCCCTCTCTTTTGTCTTGGTTAATCCAGCTAAAAGTTTGTCAGTTTTGATTATCTTTTTTAAAAAAAAACTCTTAGTTTTATTGATTTTCCCCCCTGCTGTCTCTCTAGTGCGTTTCATTCGTTCCTGCACTAATCTTTATCATTTCCTGCGTGCCGCTAATTTCAGGTTTAATTTCTTTTTCTTTTTCTCTAATTCCTCGAGGTTTAGGGCTAAGTTGTGTATCTGAGGGTTTTTGGTTGGTCTGTTAACGGAGGCATCGATTGCTATCACGTCCCCTCTCAGGACGGCCGTTGCCGCACCTGTCGGTGCTGGCAGGTTGAATGTTCATTTCTGCGTGTCTCAAGACACTTTCTGAATTCTCTTCTGATTTCTTCTTTATCCCATTGGTGGCTGTGAATATTTCATTATCGTTTTCCTCTTCTTAATGGTTTCCAGTTTCACACCGTTGTGGTGGGAAGTGACGCTAGATACGGGCCCCGTCTCCGGAAGGTCGTGTGGTGACATGGGTCCTGTTGCCGGCGGCGGCGGCGCGCGGCGCCTGCCGGGCCTGTGTGCTCGGCGCTGCCGTTCGGGGTCTGCTGCTGGTGCTGCTGGGCTGTGGGCCGAGCTGCCCGGTGCTCAGGGCGGAGCGCGGCCGCCCCCTGCTCTTCCTGTGTTGCTGCCTGTTTCTCCCTTCAGTTGTGTTGCTATTTGTCTTAAACGTTTCGGTCCTCGGGGGTTGGGGGCATATATGTCTACGACAGTCACGTCCTCGTGACGGTCTCTTTCTAGCATGACCCTCTTGGTCTCTTGTAACTGATTGAGCTGATGGTTTATCCTGTCTCAGCGTGGCCTCTCCGACTCATTCAATCACGGTTTTTCCATCCCTTCACTTTAAGCCTGTGTGTGTCCTTTATGCTAAAGTAAGTCCCTTGTGGGCAGATGTTGTGCCAGTATTTCTTAAGCATAAATCATAACGGCCCCCTAGCCCCCGCTGACTGCCGCCCGTCTCTTGCTGCCCTAGGCGACAACATGTACAGCTGCGAGCGCTGTAAAAAGTGAGTGCGTGCGTGCGGGCTTCCCCCCATCTCCCGCATCGCCCTCGGGGGTCCTTACGGGTTCCATGCACCCCGCCTGGGTTACCCCAGAAGGTCCGACCCTGACCTCACCGAGGGGGCCGGGGTGGGAGGGGCGCGCGTCCGGCCTGCAGCCACCGCGCTGGCCACTCACCGGCTCCGGCCGGCCCTCTCCTCCAGGCTGCGGAATGGGGTGAAGTACTGCAAGGTGCTGCGGCTGCCCGAGGTGAGTGGAGCGGCCGGCCCTCGCCTGCCAGGGCCTCGCACGCGACAGGTGGGGGCGTGCGGGCGAGGCTACCCCTCTCCCTGCCTCCGACTCGGGAGCTCTGAGTGAGAGGGGCCCGTGGTGATGCTGTGCTGTGGCCAAGAGGCTCCTGGGCGGGTCCGGCAGAGGGACAGGACTCACTTTCACCTTGTGACTCGGGGCCTCAGCTCCTCTGTCGCCCTGAGGCAGGTGTAGGGGCGCTGAGGGTGCCACCTGCAGTCAGGCAGCTGCGAGGGGTGTCAGGGAAGGCCCCTCTGAGGTGGTGGTGTCTGTGAGCCCTGAGGATGTGGGCTGGTGTCGGCCTCGCAGGGGGCGGGGGAGGGGAGGGCAGGGTGCGACCGGGTGGGCAAACCCGCGGCTGCGGCAGGCGCAGCCGGACCAGGGGCGGCCCGGCGGCGGGCGCAGGGGAGCGTGGCCCAAGACCAGGGTGCCCGGGCCAGCGCCGAGCGCAGCCTCTGCGGAGAAGCTTTCCAGCAGGCGGTGCCAACAGAACCTGTTGTCAAAGTTTGGGGAGGGCAAACTCGACAGGCCAGTGACAGTTAGCCTCCTGTGCAGCCGGCCTGGCTCTGGGGGACAGCGGCTCAGCAGCCTGTCTGGTGCTGCAGCCCCCACCGTGACCGCCTTCCTGGTGGGACTTGAGGAGCCCGGCCCGGCCCCCAGGTGGAGCTCTCCTGCGCATTCAGGCTTTGGGGATGGAGCCCATCCACGGGCCTGGGCCTCGGGAGGCTCCGGCCTCTGCGGCTCTTGTTTTCGCTTGGATGACGGGACCCGAGCGGGTCAAGCAGTGGGTGAGTGGGTGTCCAAGGCCCTGCCTTGAGGCCCCTGTCAGGGTAGCCGGGGTCACAGGGCCCTGGTCAGCCCTGGGATGAGTGACACTTGGGCTCTTCCCCCCAGATCCTGTGTGTCCACCTGAAACGCTTCCGGCACGAGGTGATGTATTCGTTCAAAATCAGCAGCCACGTCGCCTTCCCCCTCGAGGGACTTGACCTGCGCCCTTTCCTCGCCAAGGAGTGCACATCCCAGATCACCACGTACGACCTCCTCTCGGTCATCTGCCACCACGGCACAGCAGGCAGTGAGTCCAGCAGCCCGGCCCCGGCCCGGCCCGGCCCGGCCCGCTCCCCAGGGCGCCGGTAACCTGGCCGCCTCTCCCGGTGCAGGTGGCCACTACATCGCCTACTGCCAGAATGTCATCAACGGGCAGTGGTATGAGTTCGATGACCAGTACGTCACCGAGGTCCACGAGACGGTGGTGCAGAGCGCGGAGGCCTACGTCCTCTTCTATAGGTGGGGGCCCGGGCAGGGGCCGGGTGGGGGGCCTGGGCGTGGTGGCCCGTGGGCCTGGACCTCCTGCCACTGCTCCCCAGGGCCTGAGTCTGGGTGTGTGTGGGGCGGAGCCTGGACGTTGTTGGGGCCTGGGGGTTAGGGTCCAAGTTTTTAAGAGCCCTCTGGCTGTGGGGAAGTGGGAAACCTAAGATGCTGAGTTTGCGTCTTCTCTAGTGGTCCCCGTGGGGGGTGACAGTGGCCAGGACTCTGGCAGCGGTGGTAGGACCTGCCGAGATGCAGATGGATCAGCAAGGGGTACGGGATTGGATTCAGGAGGTTGGGTCCGGGGGGTGCCTCTGCACACACCCGTGGACAGGGCGTGGCTGGTGCCCCTTCGGGGGGTAGGGGTTGAGCCCAGGTCCAGGCCCAGCAGCTCCCACGTCTGCCCGCCTCGCCCCTGCCCAGGAAGAGCAGCGAGGAGGCCGTGCGGGAGCGGCAGCAGGTGGTGTCCCTGGCCGCCCTGCGGGAGCCCAGCCTGCTGCGGTTCTACGTGTCCCGGGAATGGCTCAACAAGTTCAACACCTTCGCCGAGCCGGGGCCCATCGCCAACCACACCTTCCTCTGCTCCCACGGGGGTGAGGGCGCCTTCTCTGCGAGGGGGGGGCCCGGGAAGGCGGGCGGGCGAGCCCCCACCCCCTCCCACGCCTTCCTCCTTCCTCCGCAGGCGTCCCGCCCAACAAGTACCACTACATCGACGACCTGGTGGTGGTCCTGCCCCAGAACGTGTGGGAGCACCTGTACAACAGGTGGGGCGCTGCAGGCACGGCCGCTGAGCCGGGCAGGGAGGAGGGGGTGGGGTGGCCGCGCCGCGGTCGGGCAGCAGAGAGCCAGGCAGCGTCTCCTTGGGCCATGTCGGCATCGACACAGCCATCATCATCGGCGGCATCCCAACGGGCCCTTCCAGGCATCAGGGCAGAAACTGGCCTGACGGAAACAAGCGCGTGGGCCCCTCTCACAGCTAGTCCTGGGGTGCGGGCTGCAGGGAGGCGGGCCGGCATCCCCCGCCCCCACCCTGGCCCCCTGCCTGACTCCGGTGGCCTGGGCCTGGGGCTGGGGCTGCCTGGGCCCTTCCCAGTTGCGGCTCATCAAGGCCGAGAACCCGCGGCTCTCCTGCGGACCTGCCCAGGCCCGGTCGCCCTGCAGCCTGGCAGGCTGTCAGCCTCCACAGCCCCTGCCCAGCAGCCAGGAAAGGAAGTGAGAGCATTTCCGTGTCCCTGGGCCATGAAGCAGATACTGTGGCGCACCAGCCCTGGGCAGGCGCCCTGCGGGGGACGGGGGCCACGGCATGCCGCACCCTTGTCAGTCTCGTGAGGCAGACAGACGCGTGAACCGGCCGTGTGCAGGGCGCCCCAAGGGGCAGTGTCGGAGAGCCGCGCTGGACGGGGAGGGCCGGGCAAGCAGGCCGCAGCCCACACCTCGCGCCAGTTCCCTGCCTGCCCCTCGGCGATCGCCCCTCAGGGCTGCGTGTGTTTCTCTCCGCCCCACCCCCACCCCCCATGCAGGTTTGGGGGCGGCCCTGCCGTGAACCACCTGTACGTGTGCTCCACCTGCCAGGTGGAGATCGAGGCTCTGGCCAAGCGCAGGCGGATTGAGATCGACACCTTCATTAAGGTGCACGCAGGTGGGGGTGGCGTGGGGGAGCCGGGCTCCAGCCTCCGCTGGGGACACGTGGGGACTGGGGGAAGAGAGTCAGTCTGTTAGGAGGCTGTGTTCTGTGGGAGCTCAGGGTGGCCAGAGGCCTGGCCAGGCCCCCGGGATGTCAGCTGGCAGCGGGGTGGGGTCGGTGCGCTCGGGGCCCTCTGCTGGGTGCTGCTGAGCGGCTGTTGCAGGCCAGGGGCGCTGCCTTGGGGGCTGGGCGCTTCTTCACCGCGCGGCTGTCCCGGGCGTCCCGGGAGGTCCGGCGGCGTCCCTGGCCTCTCTCTAATCAGTGCTGGCGACAGCCCAGAGTATCCCCGGACGGGGGCGGGCGTTCTCTGGAGGCCAGAGTCCCCCACTGAAAACAGACGGACCTGGAAAGGTGCGCTCGGTGCGCAGGGCTGGTTGCAAAGCTGGACCCAGCGCAATCCATTTAGGAGGGGGCAGCTGCAGGGAAGACAGAGGCCGTGAGCTTGCCCGCCACTGCCCCTCAGGGACCGGGGACTGTCCATGGCCAGTGAAACGTGACACGGCCAGAAGGGTTCGTGAGCGAGCCAGTTCTGTGAAGTGGGGAAGGACAGCCCCACATGTGGTCTCAGTTAACTGAGTTTTTAAAAAGTTATGAAAGAGAGATCCCCAAAATGCTGGCAGCAGTCGTGTGAGCAGCGGGTCGTGGGAAGCGTTTGTTTTCTTTGACCTTGACTGGGAGCTCTAGATCTGCCCTGAGTGTCCAGTGATGTGTGAGAGTGGGCGGGGCTGGGGTGGGGAGGGCGGGCCTTCACCCTGACCCTCCCGCTGCTCCCCTGCCCCGCCTGCCACCGCCCGCCCAGCTGAACAAGGCGTTCCAGGCTGAGGAGTCACCGGGTGTCATCTTCTGCATCAGCATGCAGTGGTTTCGCGAGTGGGAGGCCTTTGTCAAGGGCAAGGACAATGGTGAGTCGCAGGGGCTCTGTCCGGGCGCCGCGCCTGGAACACCCCTGGCAGGAGGGCCTTGGGGCTGCCGATCTGCTGGGAGTGTCTCAGGGGCCCCAGAGCCTGTGCCTGCCCAGCAGGTTTTTGGTGGCACCCCTTTCGGTGAACGCCCTGCTTCCCGGGTGAGCAGAGAAGGCGGGTGCTCTTCCGCTGCCCCCACCCTGGGCCAGGACGCCAGTGCCCTTCACTCCTGTTCCCTCCAGCTGATGCCCAGAGGACACTGCTGTCCCCTCCTGTCGGGCCCTTTCCTTTGGGGGTTCTGTGGCCCTAAATAATAGAATTTAGTTGTCAGGTAGCTACAGACTCTTAAGAAAGAACACTGTGTCCTCCAACCCCTCCGCTGACTGAGCTGGAAACAGGCCCCTCACAAGGCAGCTCCCAGTGTCCCCCACAGTCCCAGGAAGGAAGGGCCAGAGCCCAAGGCCTGGCCCCTGTGTGGCCACCACCCTCAGTGCCCTGCAGCCCCATAGGCGGGCTCTCAGATCGGGGCCTGGGGCCCGGAGGGGTCGGCAGAGCCAGTGGGTTCTGCGCAGCAGCCATTCACCTTTCAGAGTGTAAGCAGCAGCCGGTGCTGGCGGGGAGGAAGGAGAGGGGCCTCACATCCAGCCCCACCTGGTGGCAAGGGTACCAGGGACACCCGCAGCCCCCTAGTGTCAGTGGGTGGCCAGCACAGCTGTGCTGGAGAACTGGCCCGGAGCCACGCCCCCTCAGGTCCTGGCTTTGCCTCTGCCCACCTGGGATTCTACCAGATACTGGGGTCCACGGGAAGGGTGCTCAGCGAGTGGCGGCCGCCATCAGAGATTAGGGCAATGTCCGCTGGGCAGTGGCCCTGCGCCCCGCGCCCCACGCCGGGGTCAAAAACTAGTGCGAGGGTCCTAGGAAGTCCCTCTGCTGGGCTGCTTGGCTTTGAGTCCCTTCTGGCCCTCAGGCGTCTGTAGATGAGCCTTTGCTGCCCCAAGGCCCTCCCCGCAGGAGGCTCCCCACTGACGCCTCGGGCTCGGGGCGGCCTCTTCGAGGTTACGGGTGGGAGTCGCACCTTGAGACCAGCTCTGCCTGCGGGCGGAGGGCCATGGGGGAGGCTGGGACGGGGGTGCTCCCGCTGCACAGAGGCGCCGAGCCCGGGCCCGTCTGTTCCAGAGCCCCCCGGGCCCATCGACAACAGCAGGATCGCGCAGGTGAAAGGCAGCGGCCACGTCCAGCTGAGGCAGGGTGAGTCTCGGGCGCTCGTCTGCCCCCAGGCTGCCGGCAGGTCCTTCCCGGAGCCCCTGCCCCTGCCTGAGTCAGTGTCCACTGACGTCCAAGCCCAGGGCCCCAGCAGGTGGGCAGAGGCTCCTGGCCTCTGCGTGGGTCTCCCACCCTTCCCCTACCCTCTGCTGGCCTCACCTGTGCGCCCTTCCTGGGAACCCCACCCCTGGGAGACGAGGGGCGCAGCCAGGGAAGTGCCCTGTGGGGTCCTCCGAGGGTGGATGCTGTACCGCAAAGTCCTGAGATTTCCAGTTGGCAGCTGTGCACAGAAGTCCGTGGTCGCCCTCCCCGCCGTGGCGCCCGGCCCTCCTGGCGCCCCCCCTGCTGCCAGGACCGTGGTTTCATAGGGGGAGGAGGGCGGGAGGGGCTGCGAGCGGTGTCGGCCGTGGCATCGGCCCCACCGACGGCCTCTCTCGGGTGCTGCAGGCGCGGACTACGGGCAGATCTCCGAGGAGACCTGGGCCTACCTGCACAGCCTGTACGGCGGCGGCCCGGAGATCGCCGTGCGGCAGAGCGTGGCCCAGCTGCAGGACCCGGACGGCCTGCATGGGGAGCAGAAGATCGAAGCTGAGACCCGGGCCGCCTGACACTGGGCTGGTCTGTGAGTCCCCTTCTCCCTGTGCAGAGACCCCCTGGTGTCCCCTGAGTGCTGGCCCCCGAACACACCTTCCGTGAGGCCGTTTGGAAGGACCTGGGTTGGGCCCCACTGGGCCAGGTGACCCGGTGTCCCCACGGCCCCGGCCTCCGCCCCCCTCCCCACAGAGGAGGCGCCTGTCCCTGGGAGGGAGGCCGGCACCAGGGAGCCCAGGCCTGTGATGAGGCAGGAGAGCCGCCAGCCTCCCGCAACAGCGCCGGGCTGGGGACCGAGCCCACCCGGGGGACCGTGGGCCGGCTTCGATGGCCGAGGCTGCACGGCCTGGACTTGGGTCTTTGTCCCGGAAGCGCCCACACGTCACTGCTGTCGTCTGGTTATCACGCCCCCCAACTTCTGTCCTCTTGCTAGCTCAGGCCCAGCTTCTGTCCCCACGCTCTCAGCTGGGCTGTGGCCTTGGGACAGAGGGTTGGGAAAAGCTGTTGCTTCCTGGGCGTCTCCTGCAGGCGCCCGGCCCGGCCCAGCCCCCGAGACCCACGGGCCAGCAGGGTGCCCAGCGCTGCGTCACTGAGGCCCCGCTTCCCCCTGGCCCCCTGCGGTCACCCAAAGGCTCCTGAACCCTGAGTGGGCGCTCTGGTTTTTTGGGGACTAAAGACGCATCCGACACTGGGACTGGAGAGGGAGCTGTTTCGGGGGGCAGCTGGTCTCCTGTCACCCTGTGCTGTGGCGCTGGCCCCCACTGGGGAACCGACGACGAGACAGAAATACCTCACGTTGCTAGTGTGTGCGCGCCGGCAGCTTCTGTGGGGGCTGACCTCTGGGAAAGCACCGCCTGCCCACATGGCCCAGCCTGCAGAGCCCTGCGCCTGGAGGTGTGGCCCCGGGCAGCCGTCACCCCGAGGGCCTGCAAGTGCATCTTCTGGATGCTGAGTGAGGCCACTGCTGGGGCCCCAGGACCACCAAGCACCGCTTCCGCGGGCACCGAAGCCCCGGGACGACGGCCGGGGCGGGCTGCTTCCCTCGTCAGGGCCAAAGTGAACGTGGGGCTGGGGCAGGGGGTCCTGGGACCAAAACCCCCAGATGCTGTGGCCCTCGGTCTTGGGAGAAGCAGCTGTTGCAGAAATTCCAGCAGATGGCGCTGGCAGAGCCCCCCCGAAGCTGCGGCAATGTGCCGCCCAGGCCTGTGACCTCGGCCTACCGGGACCTGGTACCTTCCCCGCTGATGCAGCATGCGACCGCAGAACAAGCCACTGCTGGGATTTTGTGACATTTACTGCAGTCTTTTGAAAGCTACTGCTGCAGCCGCGGTGACCTGGGTGTGACGTGGAGACGCCACCGTGCAGGCTGGAATCTCGCCCACGGCTGTGCGGTCCTGTCTGGGTTCGGGATGGCATAATAAATCCACACACGTTCCCACAGCCCTCACTGTTGTCTCTGTCACCGGAGGGAAGTCTGAAGCCTGCTGTGGCGGGGAGGGGCGAGCATCCCGCTGACTGAGGTTCCAAGTGACTGGGCACAGGCGGGAGCCTGGCCTGGCTCTGGAACCAGAATGGGGGCAGGTGGGGGGTGCAGGAGCGAGGAGGCGGCCCTGCCGCCTTAAACACCCGCAGCCCCCAGGGGCCCCTTCCTGGAACCAGCCCGGGCCGCAAAGGAGTGGACCGCTGTGGCTGGGGCACAGGCCAGCGCGTCCACGGGTTGGTCCCCTCCTGACACCACGCCACAGACTCGGTGCCACCAAGCAGGCGTGACCCTCCCCGGACGCCACAGGGCCCCGCTGCCCGGGGCCCCTTTTCTCGCCAACACCCCCATCCTGCAGCCTGGCGCCGCCTGACATTGGGTGATGCCACTGTGTCACAGTCCCCGCCGTTTGGGTCGCTTTTGTTTATGCTTCCTGGGTTTGGGGGAGAAGGCAGATTCTTACTAGCAGCCCTGAGTGTGCAGAAGTGCACTCGCGTGAGGGTGAACACCTGTGGACCCCGTGTCGCGTGTGCTGCGATTGGCTTCTCCTGTGTAGCATGGGTGGAGTCAGGAAATGTCTTGTTTGGAGCACCGAGCGATCCTGGAGGGTTAGAGATGGCTGTTTGCGGTACAGGAAGGTGAGCAAGAAATAGGTACCAGTCGGCCTTAAAATGTTTCCTTTCTATTTTCGCTTGAAATACCCTGCTTTTAAGTGGCTGAGCCGAACTGAGGTTCTGGAGCCCCAAGACAAAACAGGAGTCTGTGGTCGTTCACCTCGCAGACTGGGCGGAGACAGGAAGCGCTGGGCAGCCCGTTGGAGGCCTCCGTCTCCTTTCTCCCACGCACTGTCCCCCTCCTTCCGGACAGGCAGGGCGGCGCCACCCGCTGTGGACTGGGGTGGGGGGGTCTGTGGGCTGCGGCCCCCTGTGCCCGCAGGCCTTTCCACCTGCCTGAGCTCCTGCTTGCAAACCTGCATCAGAAATACATCTGCAAGGCGCAGCCACCGGAACAGGCTACCTCCCACCTTCCTTCTGGTCTGAGTTCAGCGCGAACCTAAATTGTCCTGCGAGTCTCACACAGCCTCCTGTCGAGCCCCGGGGAGGCCCCAGGGAGGGAGTGGTGGTGTGGAGTCCGGCCTCCTCCCACCGGCTCCTCTCCCCGCTACAACGTTACCCCCAGCAGGGAGGGCCTGGCCAGAGAACCGATGTCCTTTGGAAAAGCTAAAAGCAGTCAGCACTTCGCAGAACGCGTGTCTGGGAAAGCTGCCGGGGGATGCGTCAGGATGCTGTCGCCTCTCCTAGGTTTGTCAGCAGCCGGGTGAGGGGGCTGTTTGGAGAGTCAGAACTGGGGACAGGGCTCTAAAGGACCGAGGCAGAGCTGGGCCTGGAGCGGGGAAGGGTGGGCACACCAGGGGCAGAGCTGCAGGACCCTGAGGCGCTTCCTGCCCCTTGCCCCGCCTCCAGCCCCGCCTCGGTGCCGTGGCCCTGAGGACAAAGGCACGTGGCGTCTTTCTCCATTCCTGCTTTCTCAGAGCCTTTTGTGGCCCAGCGATGTCCCCAGCGGAGGGGAGGTCACTTAAGTAAATGTCACTCACTATCCCAGATGGACAGAGACGGAAGTGTTTAAATCAGGGCGGATGGGTGAACCTGGAAAAGATCCGCGATGCACGCACACGGAGGGGCTGCTGAGTCCAGGGCGCGGTCCCAGCCCCGGCCACACGTCTCCCCAGAACGGACGCAGGGGCTGGACTCCCGCGCCCTCAGGCGCCTGAGCCAGCCCCGCGCCTTCCTGCCTGCAGACCCGCACCTCCGTCCACCTCCGTCGCAGCGGCAATTCAGTTAGGTCTCCAGGCTGTTTCTGGATGCCACGATTCCAGAGATGTCTTTGCTTTAAAAAAAATGGGAGGGCACACTTCAACCCCTGCCTCTGCCCACTTCCACTTCTTTCCACGTCACCCTGGCGAGGACCCCGTTTTCTCCTGGCACCAACTCCTCTTCCACTAGGGGGCGCCACGGCCCCATGTGCACTACGACCGGGCCTGGGTGGGGCAGGTAGGGAGCCCCGGAGGCCTGGCCACGCTGGGGGCCAGGAGCTCCCCACACCCGCTGCCGAACCTGACAGGCGGGTCTGCGGGGTGGAGACCCCTCTGCGTCAGGAGCTTCTTCACGTCACAGAGGTGCCTCGGAGCGTGGCTGCCACCTGTTTCCAACCCCAGTGAGGGCAAAAGTGAGTCACCAGAAGGCTCAGGTGTGTGGCCGGGAGGGGTGCCAACCCCTCAAATGCTTGAAACAAGTAAGAGCAGCACTTTCGCGACTCAGACCAGAGAGCTCTGTGCAGGGTCGGATCAGAGACAGACACCAAGTCTCACTTCCCACAGCAGCTCCCCACAGCCAGCGTGTCCTCACCATCCCCCACCCAGAAGCTGTGGCCCAGAGGGGGACACGTGCCCTCAGGTGGCACACCCCCCTCGCTCCGGGGCCCGGTCAGGTCCTTCAGGGAAGGGTGACAGGGACGCCTTTCATCTCTGACACAGGTCTGACACAGAGACCAACTATTCCCAAAGCATGACAAAGCATGACAGAAAGAACATGCTGGAAACATTCCTCCTAGATTAACCTTTTGGGGACAAGCTAGACAAGAGGCCTCAGGATAATCAAGTTGCCTGGTTCCCTTTTCCGTCTCTTACTGGGAACCACAACTTCTGGGCTGTTCAGAAGCTTTGGCGCCCCAAGCCCATCTGCTGGCACTGGGACAGCAGGCTCCCCGGGGCAGCTGGCAGGGCTCCGGCTGCACAGGCGGGTCACAGCCCCAGGTGGGAGGAGGCTAGGGCGGCGGGGAGGGCTGGCCTCGCCTCCGGCCCTCAGCAAATGGGGCCACACTTGGCATTAGCAGGACAGCTCTGCTCACACACTGAGACCCTTAGGAACAAAGAGGTGTGGACACAAACCTACTGCACTTCCCCCCTCCCCCCGGGTGAGATTCTCAAGGCTGGCTAAGCAGACGGCTGCCCGCAGCACACGTGCGGTGCCTCGGGCCCCGCGCTTCAGCTGCACACTGCCTGCAGCTGCGCGGGAACCAATGCTCCTCAGCCAGGCTACCCAGGGGGTGGGCTGGATTGAGCACTGTAGCCCAGATGCCAATGAAACGCCCCCGCTGCCGCCCCAGAACAGGGTCCTTGAGACCAGGAGCAGCTGCCCCCTGAATTGGCATGTGAGGAAAAACTTCCTAGTCCTCAGAAGCCTCCCCCAGATCCTTGGACTGAATCCGTCCGAACCCACCGCGCCTCCCGGAGGTCTCAGACAGCCCTCCTTCCCCAGCGGGCGGGGGTGGGAGAGCTGGCCTGGCCCCAGGCCTCTCTCCTGAGGGCACGGGAGGGGGGAGGACGTGACAGCCGCTGGGTTCCCCTGCCCCACCCCCTAGGGGCTCTGACCGCTTTTGTGACGCTTCTGTGACGAGCAGCACAACACTCCCCCGGTACAGTGCCGGACGGCACACTTTTATTTAACATTTAGAGGGTTAACACATAGTTACAAGGTCGATAGAAGCCTTCCAACGGAACACTTTATTTGGTTTAATTCTATCTCCAGAGACAGACGGGCAATTCCAGAGCCTTGACAATGGCAACGACGAGACCACAGTGAAGTGCCTCCACAGTTCAGAATTAGTGCAACACACACACACACACACCGCCCCCGCCCCCCCCCACCGTCGGGTTAAGAGAGTCTCGGATCGCTTGTTAATGAAGGTTTTTGATGGCAGGAGGACAGGAGGCAGAGCTGTTAAGAAGTCTGAAACTAAGATTCCTGGAAAAACATTTAGCTGGACATACACTTTTTCTTGTTCAGTAAACTTTCTTCCGTAATCACAGATGTTACCCAGAGGCCTTTGGGCTCGAGCTGCGGGCTTATGTCGCCGGAGGGGTCAAGGCCTGGAAGCTTTGAGATAAAACCCCAGAGGAAAACCCCTTCCAGCGATCCCTGCCTTTCCGTGTTTTCCTGTCCTGCAAAGGAAACACGGGGCACAGGACGGGTTCCTCTCTTCCGTTCGGGGTCCTTTTTTTCAGGGCAGGTTTTGTAAAAATTCGTCATTCTTTCAACAAAACAATGGTCTAGCATTGGCGGAGAAATGACAGGCAGTGGGTGTGAAGGTGACCGAGAGGCGCACGGGGAATTCCACGTTTCTCCTCTATGCGAGCTGCTCCCCAACAGCAAGTCCCAGGAGTCCCAGCGTAAAGGCTCCACGGGGTCTCAAGCTCATGGAACAATCATTTCCTTTAACGAGCCCAGCTGGTACAGTGCCGCCCTTCCACAGCGCCACCCAGGTCGGCAGAGAAGCAAACTCCAAGGTTAACACTGAAAAGCACGCCTTGTCCATTCTTTTTTGGACGCAGGTGGTACAGAAGGGAAAAAATGGCGCGGGGGCACAAGAGGACACAAGCGGATACTGGACTCAGCAGACCTTCAGAGAATGAATTACCGCGGCCTAGCCCTCCTCCCCTCTGTTGCAGGAGTCAGCGTATCCTGACCCACCGTGAGATGCAACACACGTGCACTACTGAGGCTGGGAGATCGGATTCTAGAAACCATTCACAGCCTGTGGAGCGGAGAGTGGCCGGCTGGGCCTGGGGAACTGCTGTGGACCCAGAGAGACCGCGTTGCCCCGCAGCGGAGCTGCCCCCGGTTGGAGCCCCGGGGCCTGCCTGCCTGAACGACCCACGCACCTGCGGTTTGCAGGGACGCAGGCACCCCAGCTTCAGTGACACCTGCAAACCCGTCCTCTCCCAAGACTGATTCTGGCTACAACAGGCTGTCTGCCGTGGGGGGCGGGGGCTGCCTTCAGGACAGCGGCCCCGAGACCCCCGGTTGGAGGGCTCGGGCAGGTGGTCTGAGCCCCTGGGCCTGGCCCCACGTCTGGGGAGAGGAGGTGACAGAGGGCCCTGGCTGCTCCCTCGCTCGCCCTAAACCTGAAGCCCCTTCCTCCTTGTCCGCACACCCCAGGCATTCGCTGGCTCCTGGCTCTGTCCCCGCAGTGGGCCGGGCCGGGCCGGGCGGCAGGGCCGCCTGCGGTCAGCCCGGCGTGCTCAGAGGAGCCACCTTCCTGCCACTGCACAGGGGTCATTCGCCCCTGACCCTCAGGGCCCTAGAAGGCTTCCTGGTCTTGGATTCACCACCGTCTGGAGAACAAGGGCGCTGCAGGGGAACACCTAGCTACCAAAAGCCAAACAAAGGACAGAAGAGGCCCGATTTTCTCCTAGGCCAACGGCTTCTCTTCACGGCCTCTGCACCAGACAGGAGAAGCCACGCTGCTCTAAGGCATGAGCAGAGACAGGCCCCGTGGCCGCACGCGCTCCTCTGAGGTCCGTAAGAAGGAAACGCTGCTCAAAAAGGAAGCTCAGTTAAGCCCACGTGGCCTGAAGGGCACGTGGTAAATGTGGGTGCAGGAGCCACAGGGTCACTAAAGGACCACAGAAGCACAGGGTCTTTGGTGATGGGAGCGCTACAATCCTAAGATGCAAACTGTGGAGTTGGTGGAAGGGGGGGAATTTTCACTTTGCAACGAGCTAAAGCACAGGTTCTGCTGGCCCGGGCCGTCGGTCCTCAGCCCCGCGAGGGCTGGGCACGCACAGGACAGCGGGGCAGGCCACGAGCTGGAGTCTGACTCCCAGGGCAGAGGCAGGGCCCCAACCAAAAGCGTGTGCATACATGTGTACGTGCGTGGGCATGCGCGTGCCCGCGCGTGCCCGCGTGTGTCCAGTGCCCACCACTGGCACTCTCAGGCTGCGACGTGTCTCAAGGGCCAAAGTTGAGTACGAGGTGAGGACCTGCCATCAGAAAAGGCCCACAGAATGCTCGATGGACTTGGGAGAAGATGAGTTGTTTCTAGAGTAAATGACACGGGACCACATCAGTGACATGTGGGTGCTCTGTCACTTGGGGTGCTCCACTCCTGACCCGGATTCTGTTAGTCTCCCCAGGGGACCAGTGGCAAAGTTTTCACAGAAGGCACAGTGTGAACCGTGGACGGGCTGGGCCAGGAGGACCAAGGACCAAGGCGGGAGCTGGGGGCGTGGGAGGCCGTGAGTAGTCGCCTTCCGTGGTCCTGCGTGGGGCGAGGACCGGGCTGGGGACAGACCTGTTTCTCCCCCCACCCCCACCCCCACCCTCACCCCGAAGGTGGCCAGACTGTGCGTGGGAGGGAGCGCTGGGCCACGGGGAGCATGCTGTAGGAAGAAAAGAAAGAAAATGCAAGCAGCCGCGTGGCGTGTGGACGCCCCTTCAGGCTGGGAGGACCAGGCCAGGCTCCAGCCCAGCCAGGGAGCGATCCTTCCGCGCCGGCCTGTAGAGACAAGGGCTTCTCCTAGGAAGGCTCCCGAGGCTCCGAGGCTCCTGAAACCACCTCTAGGAATCTACAACACAAAAAGAAAGAAAAACCGCAGTTAGGGAGGAAGGCCCGAGGCCGGGGGCGGGCCTTCTGCCGCAGGGGCAGCGCCGCCCTGGGGGGCAGGGCTGGGGGAGAGGGCAACTTTAGCAGGACCACAACCAGTTACCGGGAGATACCACAGATAAGGAACTTTCACGGTTTAATCCCCAATCTTTCCTTCAGAGAAGCCCACCTAAGAGAGCAGCACCCGCCCACCCCAACTCGTCTTTCTAGACTGAGTTCTAAGAGAGAGAAAGGTGGCCGGCTTCCCAGAACAAGGCAATGGCTCACAGGCCGCTCCCTCCACTGTGGGTGCTTTCGCGGCCCTGCGCCACCCCCTTTGGTGAAAAGGAAAGTATGTCACTCAACGTTTACTTGCTATAAACAGTGAAAGTTCTTCATCTTGGGGGGTGGGGGGGAGAGAAACCAGAGACAGACTCTTGAAGCCCTTAGGTGCACACAGGGGAGAAGCAGGAGGTGTCATCAGGTCAAGAGGGAAAGGGCAGAATTTTTAAGAAGCATTTGGCTAGAAAATTCCCCATTACTGAAGGCAAAGGAGTTAAACATTCGTGATACACAGAGTCACCTCAGAAGGGTGAAAAATCACTTAACAACACTGAGAAAAAAATACAACGTTTATTAGAGAGGCAGATATGAGGGTACAACTAAAAGGTGCCAGACAGATTCTTTTCTTTAGGGTAAGAATAGAGAGAAACAATCACGTTGGCCGTATTCAAACAAAACTTACTCAGAACCCAAGTGTCTATAATAAACTCAAGTGTGGAGCAGCCGGCAGGGCCCTAGGGACCCGTGAAACAGTCCTTCCGGCTTCCCCAGCGGTTACACAAACAAAAAGGTCATTAGGCAGCAGAATCACCAATAAAACAAACAGATAAAAGAGTAAAACGTTAAAACAACGAATTCAAGTAATCCTTTTAGTTTTTAAATGGCAGTATATACAAATATATTGGGGGAGGGCTTACGGACATATTTAACAGAAAGCAATTTCAAAAACAAAACAAAACCAGAGAAGAAGACAGTCACGATCCCGTTGACCAGCTGGGAGTTACTCTAGTCTTGACATTTTGGCAATTTTTAGAGTCACATCGTAGACGCCACACACGCACAAGGGCACGGGCAAGACTGGAAACAGAACAAGCCACTCCGCTGATGGGCCGGGGTGACCGGGGTGAGCAGGAAGCGGGCACTGCGTGTGTGTGTGTGTGTGTGTGTGTGTGTGTGTGTGTGTGTGTGTGGAGGGGGGGTGCTGAGCAGGTCTATGAACACGGGACGGAAGAGGCCTCTCCATACACATGAGTCACCTAGAATTGTATTTCTAAAATACAAGGGAAAACTTTCTAAAACAAGCTGACTTTGCTGCTCTTATTTGAAGAGATAACTAGGGAAGAAAACAGAGTGTACTTCTGGAGACAAGGGAAAGGCCTGATCCCCTGGGGATTGTTTCAGTGACATGAAACCATAAAGTATCACCATTTCGTCAATATCACAATTCATGGGCTATGGATACTGAGGGACAATTTATGCATCCACACCGCCTGGTGTGAGTCCTAATTTATGCATCCACACCGCCTGGGGAAACCTACGGAGCTATTTTTCTGAACCGATTTCATATAGCACCAAGGGAAAAACAAGAAACAAAGAGAAAACCTCCTGGACGCCACGCTTTCCGAGGCGTGCTTCAGAAGGCTGATGTGGGCCTGCCCGCGGGAGGCTTTGTCGTGTTTAGTTCGCTTCCTCCAGGAGCTCGTGGTCTGGAAACGAGCTCAGCCCCGGCAAGAAAGGTTAGGTCTTAGCATGGCGGGTGCCAGGCCCCAGGCTGAGCCCCTGCAGCTCATTAAGCCACGCCCCTGGGGTGCGCGGTCCGCTGGTTTTCTGACCTCCCTTCTTGAAAAAGAGGGGTCTAGGCTCTGGCTGGGTGGCTTTACTGATGTTTTGTTAGCAAAAGTATAGTAATCCTGAAGAAATTCGAACTACAAATTTTAAAAATTCTACTTAAAAAATTGGGCCGACTGACCGGTTTCCTGCTTTTGACTCCGCGCCCAGCGGGGCCAGCCGTGACCACGGGGAAAGCCGGGGGAGGGCGCCCGGGCCTCTCCGCTCGCTCTCTGCGAGCTCCTGAGATGTGGGATTATTCTGTGTCCGGCTGTCCGTCGCTACAGCTTCCCAGCTTCCTTCCGGGTGGCCCTTGTGGGAAACAGGGGCGAACCTTCTGCGGCAATCGTCAACAAGTGCTCATGCCTCCCGCCAGGTCCTGGTCCCCAGAGGTGCTGCTGTCGCCTTAAAAACCAGCTGCATAGTGACTTGAGCGTATAAAAGGGGCCACAGTGCCGAGGTGAGAAGCTCATGTCCCATGTCAGTGTGGGAGGGACATGAGTGACTTTCAAAGCCAAATAAAAAGTGAATGGCCACCCAACGCCTTTACCCTGACCTGTTTACGGCTGATCTGTGTGATCTCAGGGCAGGTTCCCAGGACTGGGCTTGGTACCCATCTGCGCAGGTGATAATTTCACTACCTGTCCTGCCAACTCCAAAATGCAAATCCCCATGTAACCCAGTTTCCTTTAAAGACGGTGACACATTCTATTTCACTCTGGCTATAGTTAATCCTATGAAACCAGCTAGCAATTCTAAAATGATTTTTGCAGTCAATTCACACTTTGAGGCTTAAAGAAGCAATGATTTTTTAAATCCCCGCTTCACAAAGCGATGGGCTAGGGCCGCGTCTGTGTGTGGACGCAGGTGCTGCCTGTTGTCCTCACGGCCCCACCGGGAGGGTCAGCTGAATACAGCTCCTCTTGCCCCAGAACCTCCGGCCGGGCAGGCGTGGGCCGTTCTCATGGATCACGTCCAAACAGCATGGCACTTGGGGTCACCTGTCAGCTGCCGGCGGGGAGACCGCTAGTCCCGTGGAAAAACCGACTGGGTGACCAACCACACCCCCTTGGATTTCAACTGGTGGTTTGGGATCAATTAGACATAACAGGATTGATATGCTCTAACAATGACCTTACCCCGGTTTAAGTAAAAATACACATTTTTGGTACCAATAAAAGAATCTTATTCGCTTCCTTACTCAAGAAGGGGGAGCTTCTATTTAGGACCTCCTCCGAAGTGAGCGCCTGTAAAACTCAACCAGCCAGCGTCGTTCATTCAATGAGCTACGCTACAGACTGTAACCTCCTAAGGTCGCTCAGTTTGTGGCAGATACTAGATATAAATGAGAGAAAGGAAGTCTTCTGCACCCCTGGGATGTGTGTGGACTTTGAAAATCGGAAACATGGATCAGAAGCTAGAAGGCCGCTCTGTTGGTACCTACGGATACTGCCAGAGGGGGAGCGTCTATCAGATTTCAAACGACACAGTTGTAAATTGGCATTGGCCGCTTTCCACATAAAATGTCATCAGCAAGTGAAACTTGGTAATAGCCAAAACCAGGCCAGGCCGTTCAGTGGGGGACCCCGAACGTCCACGCCAGGAAAGCCGTTACCGGCGCCCGCCGTCCAGTCTGTCGAAGAACGGCCTGCACCCGTCACAGTTGTGGGGAGAAACAACTCCAACTGCTTTTAAAAAGTTTTTTTTTTTTTAAGTTGTATTAAATATAAGTCTTAGCACCTTTGGCATTTTTGTCCAAATAGACTTCGACGTACGAGGTGGGAACATAGCCCTCTTCGTCTTCATTTCTCCGGATGCGGGTCCACCCGTCCCCTTTGTCTTCCTCAATGACGTACAGCGTTTCTCCTTCCACGACTGAAATGGTTCCTTCATTCTGACCTGGAACGGCAACAACAGGACGGGTCAGGTTTCTGGGGAAATCCGGCCGAGAGCACACAGAGAGCTTCGCAGTGAAGGAGGCGCAGTCAAAGGGGAGGTGGGTTCTCAGATGCCGCGGTCACACAGGGTGACGACTTCCGGCCCTCACCGCCCCCCTCCCCAGAAAGGCAGGCAATTCCTGGGGCGGGGCCCTTTGGTCCTCTCCCTGCCTTTCCCTGGGGGTGAGCGTGCTCCTGCGGCTTTAATCACACCGCCCGCAGCTCTCTCCGCCCTGGCTCTTCCAGGCCTGCCCGGGCGCACCTCCGCCTGGATGTCCTCCTCACCCGGGAAGCACAGCAAGGGTGGAGCTGGGCTCCTGGCTGCTCCCTCTTCCGAGGGCCCCTCCTCCTCTCCCATCTCAGGGACATCTCCCTGTCCCAGGATGCACTGTCTTTGATTCCCTGCCCTCTTTGCTCCCACCTGCAGCCACCGGGAGCCTGAGCAGGGTGTTAATGGCAGCGTGTCTGTGTCCACCCCTTTCTCGAGGCCCCCAAGGCCATTTGCTAAGGTGATTTCACAGGACGAGCCAGCACTGCCTGACAGTATTCTGAAAGGCCACTGGTTTGGGCAGCTGCCAGCGGGGGTACGGAGGGGGCATGGGGGTCGGGGTTGGTGGAGAGGAGATGGGGTAGACATGCTGTAACACCGGGAACATTTAACCTGGTCCTTCGCTCTCTTGTTTTGTCACCATGAAAATTCACTTGTGCCAGGGCCTCCCCAGCTTATCTGCGGTCTGGCTGCCTCGGCCGCGGCGCCCTCACTCTCAGCCCGTGGCGCCCCATGTGGCGGTGCCCGCGCAGCGCCCGGCTCGCCTTTCTCGCCATTATCCCTGTTTTCTCACTGCTCCTCCTCATAGGAGACAAGCGTCCCAAGGTGCAGCCCTGACCGGATCAAGGCCTTGCTCAAATACTTTCATGGCTCCACCACGCTTGCCAAAGGAAATCCAAATGCGTCCCTTACCCCGCCCCCCCGCGGGCACCGCCTGCTTCCCAGTCCTCTATTGCGCGATCACCGCCTAGGACAGCTGAGCTCCGCTGCCAACCCCGCATTTGGCCGTGCCCATGCCCCTGACCCCTGGTGGCGCTGAGTTCTCTGAATTCCCTTCCGGAAGGGCCACCGTCCTGCCATGACTCCCCCACAGTCTGTGCCCCCCGCCCACTGCTGCCGCCTCTCCGAGAAGCCTGTCAGCTCTGTTCTTCGGCGGGGGGTGGAGGGGGGGATGCTGCCCCCTACCTACCGCCTGCATCCCACCCCTTCGAGAGCCTCTTCAGGACAGGAGTTCTATAAATAGGGAACGAACGCACGAAATAATCACTGTTCCAAACAACCTGCTGCGATTGAGCTCACCGAAAGTCGTTAAATTATATGGACCGAAGGCAAAATATACAGCCATCAACCTAACGACGACACTATTATTAATAATAAAAAATACTATCAGCAGAACGAAAGAGACATGAGAGGCAGACAGAGGGCTTTAAAAGGAAGTTGGCTCCCAGAGAGCACAGGCGGCTCGGACGGCTTTTGAAACGGGGGCGGTGGCGCTGCGCAGCGTTACCGTCGAATGTGTAGAGGGCTTTACACGTCCCGATGGCCGGCAGCGGCTCCTCGTCGTCGAACTCGTCGTCGAAGTCCACGGCCAGCACCTTCACCTCGCTCTCCTGACTCTGCTCCTCCGTGTAACTGCCATCCGGGCTGCTCAAGAAAGCAAAATGCGCAGCAACTATAGCAACCGACCCCGTGAGGACGCCAAGCGCTGGGAAATGAGACTGTCTCCAATCTTCCCATCTCCCGCGGGGCGTCAGAAACCGGCACCGCGGGAAAATCACGGGTCCGCCATCACAGACACATTGGTGTCTGACGCGTGCCTTATGCCCGTTCCCAGATCCCAGAATCGAGAAGCGAAAGCAGAGTTGTCCACTGGCCAGAGAGCAGGGCCGCGCCCATACTGTACCTCTCCCGGGCCTGGGCGCAGTTGTTGACGGTCGGGGTGGTCTGGACGTCGTACAGTCCACTCTGTCTGCGGGCCTGCTCGCCGCGAGCCGGGAGCCTGCCTTCCACCTCTGCCAGCCAGGCCTGCAAACAGAAGCCCCGAGACACCGGGCCTGAGCTCAGCTGAGGGCCCTGCCCCGGAGGCTGGAGCCGCCAGCGGGGGCTGCTCTCGGCCATGGAAGCTGATACGAGGGCTGCAGGGGGCCGGTCTGGGGGTTTTGCATTTGACTGTAGAGATGGACTCAAAGGTGACTCACTGCTTCCGTCCCCTCCCGAGCTGGAGAAGGGGAAGTGGATGTATTTACGCACCTGCCCAGATGGGGCAGGAGGGGCACCGGGCCCTGTCGACCTCTTGGCCATTAAACTGCAGTGTGATTTCAGATAAATCACTTTTAGTTCCTTCTGGGGTTCTCCAAATTCTGTGACCATGAGGTCACCCTGGGAAACATGACGGTACTGCCACCCTGGAGCAGTGACTCAATGTGAAAGCCACACTTCCTTTTTCCATTTCTTTCCTTTAAGGAGTGTAACATTTTTTTAATAGTGAAGACACTTGTATGTAGGAAATCAAAGTAGACAAAATTATCTCCACTAGTTACACTATTCGGCTTGAATAGTTACACTGTTCAAAAGGCAAAGGATTACAAATGATCAGAAAAGGACATTTCTAGGTTCTCAAGACCCAAACGCTCATTACTTCTTGACGGATTCTAGACACAGTTAAAAAAAAAGCCCTATTGGACCCTTCATTGATAGAAATAACCTATTCTGATTGGCACGATCATTTCTTAATTTATTTTTCCCTGCTCTGCAGTCTTTGACTTTGGTGGGGGGTGGGGGAAGGAGCCCTCTGCCCCCAGCTTCTGAGTGTTCCTCTCTCTGTGAAACATGTATTAAGGGGTTGGCAGCAGGGTTTTCTGCTCATCTGTATTTCCCACTGGCTTCCACGTCCGGGGCCTTGGCTAACGGGTCCACTGAAGGAACGACAGTGTATCTCAATTTCACTGTCCTCTGATTCTCTGACATTCCCAGTCACACTTTGTCAACAGGAGATGTCGCGGGACAAACTTAAGTCAAACACTTAAATTAAAACTCGACACTGGAGCCACATCAGCGCACCTGTCAGTGGTGCCCATCTGACAGGACTCCGAGGAAGCGGCACCCTCGGGGGTGACAGCGCACGCTCCCTCTCGCCGCAGCGGTGACCCCCGGCGCGCCCAGCCGCACCTGCCCCGAGGAGAGAAACGCCCGTGGTCCGTGGCCGCGCTGACCTTCGCGACACCCTTGCCTTCTGTTTTTTTCTCCCCCTAACAACAGCTTCTCCATACCTCAAATTTCTGGGCCTCTAGTCGCAGCTTTTCTATATTTTGGCTGACTTCTGTTAATTTGTGGTCCAGACTGGCTGGGTCTCCCATCTGCGGGTTCTTTAGGTAAACGTCTTTCATTTTCGTGATAGCATCTCTGAGGAAAAAAGAGAAGGATGAGCCGCATGTGGGAAGGTCCCTGTCACCGGCCCCTTAAATTCTGCTATCGCCTGGGAAAGCACATGAGTGGGAGGACTGTGTGAGAGTGTGGGCTGGAAGGGAACACTGGGGCCGGCGTCCCTTCTAGAACTCCTCTCTAGGACCCTGCTCCCAAGGTCCAGATACTCCGGAGACTGATATTAAAGCTTCGACGGCTTTTTGGAACGGGGTCTCCCTGTCGTCTTCAGTGAGTAGGAAACATGTATCAGTCCCGCCCCTCCTTTTGCCCCAAATAATAAAAAATGAACCAAAGGCAAATATTTCCACATGCACATTCTCCACGCAAACCAAAGCTACAGCTGGCGTCGTGGGTCTTGTGAGCTGCAACCTGTTTGCTTCATGAAGAAGCACGGTTAACTGCTTTGATAGTTTTACAGTATTATACACTATTTCAACTGTTAGGAAATGGACCTCATGGTTGGTGTCCACGACGGGCGGGCGACAGAGCTTCAAAGCCACACATGCAAGGCTCCAAGCCCCTCCTGAACATGCGGCTGGGGAGCCCGCCCCCCGCGGCCTGGGCGAGGGAGCCCCAGGGAAACGGCGCAGGCCTCCGCGGGTCCGCGCCAGCACCAGAGGGCTCTGCCGGCCTGAACTCTGGCTTCAGGAGGGCGGGATTTGTTCGAAGTTTAGAGCAAATGGTTCTGCCAATTGTAACGAGCTTGGGCAAAAGAAAATCTAAGCCAGTGGTGCAACACGAGACCACACACCACACCGGACTTTGGTCCTGGGAAATAGTTTAACTAAAAATATAGAACTGGCAGGAAGAGAATTTCCACCCCTCTCTACCTGCTTCCTCGCGTATCAGCCCAGACATCCTGCCGGCCTGGGGGGCTTCGAAGAACTGCCGCTCCTCCCTACGGCCGCCTTCCCACTAGAGCCTCCAACCCTCCTGAAGTCCCAGGTCCCTTACTTGCCACTGTTTCCTTTTCTTCTTAATGGCATGTATCATGTCCAACACTATATCATTTATTACTGTGCTTAGAATGGAAGCCCCTGGAGGAAGCTGGGTGGACTCCAGCCCTTTGTAACCGTGATAGAACCCCGGGGGCAGGACCGTCTGGCACACGGTAGATGCTCAACAAACAGGCGTCAGTTGCATAAACGTTCTTACGGCTGTAATATCGTCCACCTTTACAAGATTCCTCTCTTGACTTCGTGGCTTACACCTCTAGCCACTGCCCTAATTTCTCAGCAAAGACTTCTCTGAAGAGTGCCCGCTGATTTTTAGCGCTCTTTGTAGTGAAAGTTCTAAGTGTCCCTTTGTCCTCAAGCTTTAGTGATACCCCAGAAACTGATTCGGAGGATGTGTGTTAAGGGCCAGCGCTGACTCATGTCTTTCCCAGTATCTAGCATGAGTCCTTCTTTAGTCTGTGCGTTTAGAGCTACGTTTCTTAATTTCTGAGTTTTCATGACCGATCTGTTTCACTGTAGGCCTCAGAGAACATGCCGTGAACAGCATCTCTCCTTGAATCTCTGTTGAGGTCTCCATGATGAAACCAGGACATGTGTGATCTTTGGAAGTGTTCTGTGCGTGCTTGAAAACATTGTGTATCATGCGGCAACCGGGTATGTGTGTATTAGCTGAGTTTTATGAATTATATGATTCAGATATCTATCTTGATGCTGGTAATCTGTTCTATTAATTATTGAGGAAAGTGCATCAAAAAATCTCCCACTCTAATGATGTAGTTCTGTTTCTTGGACTTAATGTCAAAAGGTTAATGGCATAACTTTTTTTGTGGTTTCAGGTTATGCTATTAAGGTCCTATGGATTTAAAATTTTGTATCTTCTTGGTGAACTGAACCATTTGTTATTGGAATCGCTTATTATTATGGAGTTGATCCTCTTGGGTGGAACAGGGTGGGGCCTGGGAGTCAGCCTCGCTGCACCAGGTTTCTTCGGTGGCATTTGCAGGGTATCTACTTTCTATTCTTTAACTTTCACCCATTTTATATGTCATGAGTTAGACGTGTCTTTTGTAGACAGCATACAGGTGGACACTGGGTTTTTGTCCAATCTGAACATCTCTTTACATTGGAACCATAAGGTCTCTTTACATTTAACACACTGATTTGTTTTATTTGACAAACACATATGTGCCAGGCATTGTTCTCAGCGCTTCACGCACACTGACGTGTTTAGTCCTCACAACAGGCACCTTTGCTCCCATTTAAAGGTGAGAAAACTGAGCACCAGGAGGTGGAGGCGCCCGCCCGAAGCCTGCAGGAGAACCGGGGGTCCGGTGCGGAGCCTGGGCACCCGAGCGCTCCGCGTTGCCCGCCTGCCACCCAGACGTGTGCTTTTGGTCTGCCCTGCCTTAGTCTATGCGCTTTTCTCCCTCCTTCTTTGCATTTTTGGATTAACTATTAAAAAACACAAAACAAAACAGTTTTCCAAATGATGTCCTCTCGGCTCAAATCATTTATTCTGCACAAAAGGCAAGTTGCCCAGGGACAGAGGTCTCCGTCTGTTTTGTTCGCTGCTTCTCCCTCAGTGCCTAGAGGAGAGGCTTCCTTGTGCAGAATGAAGGCTCCATGCACAGTCATTAGGTGAGCACTTGAAAGCCATCTGCCTTCTCACCAGCAGGGGCTACTACGGGGTTAAAAGGTTAACCGGGTTCCAGGGCCAGGACCCAAGTGACAGGGAGATTTTTCTCCTCGGCATTAGACCGTGCAAGTCTGTCAACACCCTATAAAATGTCACTTCAGATACTGGAGTCCTAACTTCTCGCTCCTATACAAAATAAAACTGTTTACTTAGCAAACAGCAAGAGGTTTAATTGGTTTATATATTTATAAACCCTTTTGTATTTTGTCCTACATGTAATAAAAAGTACAGAGACAAAATTTTCATTTCCCAAAGTATATTCGTCTAATACGAAACTGGAACAAAGTGACTTAAACGTGTTCCATCTCTTACATGCAGTAACAATCTTTGTAAAAGGATAAAACGACCCATTTTTCAGGAGTCGCTCTAACAAAGGAAAGAACAGAAAGCGGCTTTGCTTTTGCATGCACTGGAGCGGTGCTGCCTTCATTTGTTGTTTGCTTTCGGCATAGCCAACTTTTAACCCAGCTTCCATATAACTCAATTTACGGGGGATCGGCATGTGGCGTTTCCATAGGCACAGAATCTCAGAGAGATGAATGACTTGCCTGACTCACTGAGTGAGAATGTATAGCACAAGGCCAAAGACAATTAATGAAAGGGTTTTCAACCAGGATTATTAACAAATATCCCCCAAGTGATGCGAAAGAGCTGCAGGTTATGACTGTGGGGCGGGGGGGCGGGGGGAGGGAGTGACAATGGAAGAGACAGCAAATCTTGTCTTACGTTTTTCCTCCCACGATCGCTAGCGTCAAACTCACAGAGCAGCTCAGAAAACAGGGAGCCCTCCAGCGGGCGCCGCGAGCAGCGCCTCCTCAGAGCAAGGGCCCACGGACACCCCTCGGGGCTGGGGCGTGTGCAGAGACAAGCCGTGACTGTTCTCTGTGCACCGTCACTGCACCCCATGGAAAGACAAGAAGACCGGAGAGGCTGTGGGAAGGCTCGTGGTCACTTACCACTGAACAGACAGGCAAGGGCATTTTGGACCCAAAGCTAGGGTGTGGGGGCAGGGGAGTGGGTGGGAGGCAGGTCACGCTTCTCTTCCTCATTTGTACAAGAAAACTCACCTATATGCTCATGATAAAAGAGATTATCCTATGTATTCTGTTCCCCAAACTCAGAATGAGTCTACTGGTAAAAAATTCTCCCAGGCTGTAATAAAGTGATCCCGCACCCCACCTGGGGACTGAACCCGCAACCCAGGCATGTGCCCTGGCCAGGCATCGAACCTATGACCCTTTGGTTTTCGGGATGTCACCCAACCAACAGCCACACCGGGCCAGGGCCGCACTTGAGTTTCTTAATGATCCACTCTACCTTTGATCCACCTCCTTCTGAATGTCTTTATTTAATTCATCGACTTTCTGTTGGAGCTTTTTCCTTCTCTGCTCGGGTGGGAGGTTGCTGAAGTCCTCTGGCGTTGCGCCCTGTAGATGCAAACAGAAATAAGCCAGAAGGAGCCTTGCAGGGGGGTGGGGGGGCGGGGCAGGCCTGCAGGAAGAGGCCCCAGACCCCTGGGCTGCAGGCCCGTTCCCACGGCACCAGCCCAGACGCAGAATCAGTGCATGCAAGTCCCAAGACCTCGCAGGTTCCGCTGAGGCTGCCCAGGGGCGCCTCCCAAAAGGCAGGAGCGATGCTGCAGGGAAGAGAGAGGAAGAAATACTCCCGACCCTGGGGAGGATCCAAACACAAATTTTGAGACACATTCTTCGTGTCACTGCCCGTGTTGGTGGCAACACTGCAATTTTAAGCAAGCCTAAATTTTTGGTTCACTTCCTATAAAATAGGGGTGAGCATCCCCATCAATTGTTCCATGCGGCAGGTTCTGCCTTGCCACCCCCGCCCCGTCCCCCGGTCTGAGTATTTCTTCCCGTCTCTTCGCACAGGCCGAGGCCAAAAGTTTCCGTCCCTGTGAAGTGACAGATGGGACATCTAGTTCCTCAGAGGATGTGGGTGAAAAGGACATTTAAAAAAATAGATCCCCCCGCCCCACTGAGCTCTTTGGCCCGCTGCCGCTGCATGTCTGGCCACTTTTTTCTGGCATTTTTAGGGTAATCTCAGAAAATTCATAGATGCCCGCCCGCAGCGCAGGAGATCAGTCGCAGCTGCTCCCAGCCCGTCAGAAGAGTATTTTGATATCTTGATTCCCTTTCAAAAACAATTCCTCTCTTTCCTCTGTGCGTGTGATTTGAGCAGAACATGCCAACAGTGAGCTGCTAAGACGTACACTGGTGCTCTTGGTAGAAGCTAAGTGGCGGTTGTCAAGTGCTTTTACTTGAATGAGGCAGTTTTCATAAAGAAAGAGGAATTTATTTGATAACCAGGGACCAGCCAAGGCATTTGGACAAGAGATTTTTCTCTGGAGCCAATTAAAGGAAGGCAAGGCGGGCGTGGGGAGCGGGTGGGCAGGAAGGGACCTGCAGAATATCACTCCCCAGTCAAGCTGAGGCTGCCCAGCAGCTTCCTTGGGGACCTGCAACTCAAGTCCCTGGGCAGCATATGATAAAATGCCAGGCGGCTGTGCCGGAGGTGTGTGATTCAGCAAATAGCTTAGCGCAAGGGCCACAAAGGACCTTTTGGCTAATGCTCTAAAGCGTGTGCATGTGTGTGTGTGTGTGTGTGTGTGAGTGTGTGTGAGTGTGTGTATGTGTGTATGTGTGTTTGAGTGAGAGAGAGAGAGAGGAGAAATAAGATGGGAGTAAAACCAGAAAGGAAACGACTGTTCCCTAATGCCAAACCAAGGCAATTCAATTTGCCTCTAAAATGAAAATGAAGCAAACTAATCTTCAATAGAAAAACAAATCTTGCCCATATACTATTATGTTATGATACTCGAAGCCTGGATTACGTGCTTTTCAATGTGCGCAATTCGACCGCTGAGCCTGAACACTCAACCGTTCGTTCTCACGATGCCTTAGAGCAGAGCAGCACATGGCCTAGAGCCGAGGTTCGGTTCCGTTCTGTTCCTTGGTGCTGGGATGCGGCAAAACACAGCGCGAGGCACACTGGTTCAGAAGTCAGGGACCGCAGCGGGCGCTGCCTGTGAGTTCACTGAGGCTCACTGAGCCGCACAGCGAGCCCAGGCCAACGGAGCTCTTTCTACAGCGACGGAAATGTCCCACATTTGCACTGTCCCCTACAGGGGCCGCACATGGCTGCTGAGCACTTGAAAAGTGGCTAGTGCAACTGCGGAGCTGAATGTTACATCTCTTTTGAATGTTAACCAGCTCCGGCTGAACCGGCCACCGGCGGTGAGGGGCTCCCGCGCTGGAAGCCCGGGGCTCGGTGCGACAGGTGCAAGATCTGCGCTGGCGGGTAAACGGGCGCAATGAACTGTGTGAGTGAAACCCGCTGCACTTGTGGCTGCCTCACAGGTAGATGCCCCCGACGATGACGGTGTAGCCCTGACTATTTGCAGAACCAAAATAACTCCGTAGTAAATCGAGGAAGTCTTTTCAGTGGATCAGGAGTCAGTCTAATGGACCAGTTAGGTCCCTTTCCACATGTCGTCTGTGTTCTGTGTTGTTATTTAAAAACTGATCTCAGTAGCCACGCCTCACACAAGCTTCACGTTGTCTGTGGAGATTCAGGTCAATGGCTTCTTCTAGAGCCAAAGAAACTTAGGGTTTCTGGAAACACCTGAACAGGCCATTTTGTCCAATTAGCTTTTTGAAGCTTGAATTCCTTTAGACAACACGCTGACCTAGGATTCATTTTGCCATGAAAGAATTTATACATATAGCTTTGAGTCAGAAGAGATGTTCTGAAATCCCGGAGGGCCCCGGGGTACAGAGGATGGGGCAGCACTGGATTTGGAAGTAGGGGTCACACACAGGTGTATCCTTTAAATGGCTGTTTTATAGCAACTGGAATCAAACGCTTGCTTCCCAGGCGCTCCCCCCAAAGAGCACAAGAACAAGCTGCTTTTTGAGGGTTACAGTTTTTGTACCCCAGCCATGTCTGTGTGGCACCGCACGTCGTCATCAGCTCCAGAGGAATGGTGTACAGTGACAATTCAACACCGGGCTGGTAAAGCGATTTGTGTCTCACATTGCAGAGACTGCCCGGTATCACCATCTTTTGCTGGTTAACACCTCAGCAAACGGGCAAATAAAGGGCAAGAAGGAACCCCTGGTATCCGAGAGGTTCCTAGTTAATTGACCCAGTTTCTCCCAAATTCATATTGCTAAGGAGTGTGGTTCATGTAAACATCTAGGTCTCTTCTTCTTTTCCCTAATCAAGGACTAGTCTCAAGATCTTTATCTCAGTCTAAGAAATGTTCAGTTTAAGAAAACATTCATTTTCTTTAGGGTTGGGTCAGTTGCCAAATACTGACTCAGGTCGAAACAATTCTGTACATATGTGGGTGCATACACAGTTACACGCACATGTGTATGTAAGAATAACCGTGAATAGGAGCTTGTGTTATCAACAGCAGAGCATAAATTGCTCTTCCTGTTCCTGGTTGAATTGTCACCATTTACCGTTGCCCGTAATTTCAGGATATCCTCAGCTGCGAGGCTTGAGAATCCCATGTAACTTATGCATATCGGAAGCATAGTTAGGGGTTCTGTTGGTTAAGGTTTTCTTTTAGTACACGTAATGATTAGTTGGTGTACTAGGGCTATACAATTAAGCAGCAAGAGCCCAGAACGCTGAGTCAAACATTATGGAAAGGCCTAGGGTGCTTTTTTTGCTGTCTGCAAAATCCTCCTATGACTTCTTGAATCAGCTACACACAAGGCGCATTTAAGTAGCACCTGAAAGATGTCATGGTTTCTCATTGCCACAGGCAGCCTTGGGCCCGTGTTTTGAGACTGCTGTCACCCTGGTCGTGTCCCCTAGGCTCCCAGCGTTTGTCATCAGCTCTGTGGCTCTTGGGGGGGAGCATCTTACCACAATTAAATTTACCTTTATTCTAAAAGATCCAATAAATAAACTCCCCACTACTTAATATTTATGTTCAGATTTAGATAAAGCTCATCGGCATGTGCCACCCTCTTAAGGCCCCCATAGTAAAAAAAAAAAAAACAAAAACCAACCCCAAAAACCCCAAAAACCCAAATCATGAGTTAAGCATTAATTTTCTTAGCAATGTGAAAAGATTAAGATCTATTAGCTTCCCAATCTTTGTGTTTCAAAGGTCTAATAAAGAAAGGGCCACACCAGCACATACAAGAGAAATGCAAGTCAACAGTTAACTCAGCGGGTAGGCAGAGCACCCACAGAACGCGCAGCAGGAAACCTGATTAGACTCAGGACATGCAGGACATCATTGTGCTTACCAGCTTGAGAGAAAGCTTCATGTGAAAATTGAAGGGGGGCAGGGAGAGAGAGAGAGAGAAACAAGGCATCAGAAGAAGGGGAACTCGGTCAGCTTCACCGCATCAACATAATACAAATTCACCTGGCGCTTCATGAAAATGACTCGGAGCGGATCTGTGCAAAAGTTCACAAGAGGGGCTGATCCCCGCCAAAACGTTCTCTAGCTGCCACGTGGCCAACAGCAAAGAACTGATGGAAAAAGGAGAGTTTCCGTTTATAGTTCCCCATGGTCCCAATCAGCCTGGATAGGAGCTGAAGTAACTGTGGAGTTGGGGGCACGTAATGATTAGAAAAGACAAAAATAATCACACGGTCTTGTGTTCACCAAACTTGCTACAGACTAAAAGGGTCTGCAAAGCAATTATTTCCACAACACACAGGTTATACTTTCACGTGAAGGAAACCTAATAAACATGAACACTGGCCTTTCTCACAGGCACTTGGGCCAACTCTCCGACTGGTGAACAGGGAACCAAGGAGTGGAAGCTGCTCTGAGAAACGACCTCCAGGAGCCAGGAAGCCCCTGAGCGCCAGGCTGGAGGCAGAGGGACGAGGCTGTCACCCCCCAGAGCACACGCACACCACGCGGAAAGGTCGCCAGAGGCTTTCCATGGACTCTGAGCCCCAGCCACAGAGGTAACGTGGCATTTGGGGAGTTCATGGGAGCAGCTACTCTCGAAAGCGAGCTCTGGGAACCAGACAGCCAACTGCCTCAACAGCCATGCGCTCCTCCTTGCTGTGGCTTCCGTGACAGCCATCTGGACACAGCAGCTGCCATCCTGTTGGGCCTTAAGATTAGCAAAGGTGTGTAGTCATTACTGGACCCCAAGCAGATTAAATGGCGTCTGAAAATGAGGAAAAGGAACACTTCTTCATGAATCAGTGAGACTGCCTGGGGCTACAAAAGCAGTATCCTGAGAGGTCAGTGCAGGCTGGCTTAGCTGTTGTCAGTCCTAAAAGTTCAGGCCAACGTGAGTCGTGAAAGCAGGACCCCAAAATATGTTGGAGACAAAGTATTACAGAAAGTGCCCTTTCATTTTAAATGAGGAGGAGAGAGGGTATCCAAAACTTCCTAACCATATTTAGGAAGTCCAATTCTTAAGATTAACTTAGAACTGACACTTCTCAGTAAATAGGCAGCGAGCTTTTAGGGAAACTGTCCGCCTGAAGAAAAAGAGGATTTTAAGGGAAAAAGCTGGGAGACAAAGCTTTCGAGGGCGCAGGTGCGCAGCCCCGCGTGTGGCCGCTCCGCGGGCAGCCGCCACCTCCTCGTACCCCTCCTGTGAGCTTAGCACAGATCTACCCGCTCATCGCGGTTCGAGCTCTTCCCAGACAACACTTACGGTGCACAGCGGACGGCTCTGCAGACGCCTTCCCCACAAGCACACTGCCACAGACAAACGTTTTCCCCCACGTTATCCGCTAAACGTCGCTGGCTCCAAGAACCGAGGTTTGAACTTGATACTCTATCTGCTCTCTTTGGCTCTTTCTCTTATTTCAAGTTACATATTCTTAAGCATTCCAAACCACAGAACCCCATCATCAAAAGGAATAGCCTAGGAATGTTAGCGCTTCATTATAATAATAAGTTGTTAGGACTGAAAATCAATCCCGAGAGAAATAGGGGATACCGAATTGTGGGACACGCCCCATTTCCCTGCCGTAAACAGGTTCTTGGTTTCACGCTGTAAGCCAGCCGGTTAGATCACTGACGATTAAAAACCGAATCGTCTGTTAAGAGGGCATTTTAAAGGCTGCGTATGGGGCACGGTGAGACACCTGGGGAACTGAAAAGCTGTCAGTGTCAGGCGACAGTTATGGAACCTGGGGAGCCACAAGTGTCAACAGTACAGGCGGGAACACAGAGCTGGCGCATCCATGTGTTATTGGGCAGTCACAGGTACTAACCTCAAGTACAGAGAAAGGGGACAGCGACAATGATCCGCTAAGTGCTGTGTGGAAGGGAATCATGTCACTCCTCTAGGACCTGGCTCATGCTCCACGGACTTTGGTGTGACTCCCTTAGGGGTCAGCTGTTACCGGCGCGGACACCCGGGACAGTGCCGCACAAGGGCCATCCGTAAGAGCGTCATCCTCCTGTGGCCACGCCCTGCAGCTGCGTTTTAGGGGGAAAGCTCTGCCGTAAAAGCCAACCCAGCGACATCCAGGATGGCAGTCGCCCTCCATGAGAAGGGAATAAAACCAAGCTCTGCTTACTGACATTTTTAGGAAGTCTGATTGTTCCTGGAAAGTTGGGTTCCTTTTTCCATGCAACTTTCCCGGATGAAGCAGCCAGGGGTTGAATTTACACAACCAGGCTCTTCCCCCTGGCGTCTGGGTCTCTGAGCTGACCATTTCGTTTCTCGGTGGAAGCGTTAGCGGGTGCCCCTGGGTCCCCAGTCTTGGCAGTACCACCGGGGTTAGTGCCTGTGCCGTGACTGCGTGACCCGGCTGTGACAGGTGAACTTACAACATAGTCCCTAGCTTCAAAAGCATACGTGGGTTTCCCTATCGTCCTCTTCGGGAGTTCTTTGTGAAAACAGAAAGACTGAGTCTGCCAATAGTCAGCAAGAGAACAAGAGAACATGAATAAAATGACAAACAGTTGGGAAGGATTTTCAACATCATTTGAGCAACTTTGATGGCATCTTTCCATACAATTGACTCTAAAACATCGGGCAAACAGGTCCATATTTTAGATTTAGAAGTCCTTTGCTCAGACCGGAAAAAGAAATCCTAATTTAAGATAAAATTACCCACTGTAGGTTGCAAATTGAGAACATACTACCTAGGGTAAAGACAAAGTAATAGTTAATAATGCTCAAGTGGCATGCCAATCTTTAAAGATATTCAATGAAACAAAATTTTCTTACAAATGTCACCGATTGACAACCAAAAATATTTTATCCTGTTTAATTACTTAGAAACAAAATCAGCTGAGAAGTGTTTGCCCAAGATTTATACATTTTGGTAATAGGAACAAATTATTCAAATCTGGATCTGAAAGCTGCAAACACGATCAATGAAAAGACACATTAAAATCCCAGACTTGTGATCTCCCTGGGATACTTTCCCTAACTTTGGCACAATAGTCTTAAAGTTAAAAAGCAGAATGGACAAAATAGTAGCAAGGACTCTATTATCTTACTCATGGATCCTGTAAACCATGTACCTTCTGTTTTGAAATTGCTTTAAAATAAATTTATTTCCCCAAACTTCTGATTTGGTTTTTGTTTTGCACTTCTTGATCTTACTTCTATGATATATTTCCTTTTCTTTCTTTCTTTCTTTCTTTCTTTTTGCACTGCTACTTCCTGAAGGGACATCAACTCTGACCCCAACTAACATAAAGGAAAAAAATGAGTTTCTATATATTTATTAATGTTTTTAGTGTGTGTATGTGTGTGTGAAACAAAACACACCATTTAGGAAATTTTTTAAACAGAGGTTTGCTGAACATAGATTTGAGGAGTAAGAAATAAAATTCATTTTGCTATGGTAAAAAAAGGGGGGGGAGGGGACCTTTAAATCATCAAAATAAGTAGCTTCCCATGTCACTGTATTTTTTCCCTTGCCGTCTTTTTCTGACACTTACTGACCACATTCTTTGGATTTCTCCTAAACATTCAGAGGACACTGGGACACGGAGTCAGAAACCAAGTGCAACAACAGGCCGTGCGATGTCGCGAGAGGAGCCACGGCTGCAGGGCAGACTGTCCCCGCCAGTCCGCGCCCTGCATCGCGAGATGCCAGAGGACCGTGCTTCTGAGTATTTACTATACACACAACGCCTGAGAGCCCTGTAAAGGCTTCAGTAGTGCCAGCTATGGGTCAACTGATCTACAGTGTCAATGGAACACTGTCCAGTCCAGCAAAAACAGCTGGTCAGACGTGGGCACTCCTCCAAGGAGCAAGCGGGGGAGGCTGGGGAGCCCAGAAAGCCAGCGCACCCGGATCTGGCTCCTGGGCTCAGCACGGCAGCCGTCCCCGCGTGACACTACGTTCGGACTTCTCACAACGGCGGTCCCGGCACCTCCAGGAAATGGAATATCCGATTCTGCACCTGGTATGCTGGGGGGGCCTCAAACAAGACAGTTTTACCGACTGTAATGTTCATGAAAAACACTGCATGTAATGTAATGGGGGTCTCTGTCCCTTATTTTATAGGGAACAGCTCAGTATCCATTATATATCTGCATTCTTTTTACAGAGAAGGGAAAAGCAGAAATTAGGTTCGTAGGAGAGCACCTCCATGCTAGCCGCGTGGCTGGTCCCGCGGGGCGGGATTCGAGAAGTCCTTTCCGGCCGGGTTACAGTGCTAAACGTGTGCTCTCGACGGCCTCGCTTCACTATTCATTAAAATACTTGGGGACAGCCTAGACTAGACTGACAATTCAGTCATTCGGGACACTCCCTATCACTTCGTTCCCACCTCTTCCCACACTGCCACCTCCTCTGGATTGCTGGGCCACTTCCACGAAACCTGGGACTTAGGCGCGTGCGGTTGTAACTCAAAGGGTCCACCTGAGTCTCCACAATGCGTGCTATGAGTCGCCTGCATTGTGCCAGAGTCTCCGTCAAGGTGGGAGCCATGGAATCCCCACCTAGGGACAGGTGTCCCTCTTCCTAACTTCATCCTTTTCTGCCTCAGTTTTCTTATTTTTCAGTAAGAGAAGAAGCCCGAGTTACCTTGGTTCCTAGGGAGGCTGAAAAAAGTAAATGAGCACACAGAACAGAGCCTGGGAGGTAATACGCACTCAGTAAACAGCAGCTGCTCTCATCGGTTCACCTTTCAAAGACACACGCTGCATTAGGCTTTTGCTAATCATTCCGTAAGTTTTATCGGAATTTTTACCAACATCTTCTAAGTCCTCCCGAACAGCGGAAGAAACCACGCGAACCATTACTTCCCATTCAAACCCCAACGCGTAGCTCAGGGAGCGGCGGCTTCACGGAGTGAGCACTGTTCCAGGAAGAACTAAGCAAAATGGTCTCGCTCTACAGTGGCTTCTCATTCCTCATCTCCCAGTCCTTCCAGAATGTGCTGAGGACAGAAAGAGCTCTGGGCGGGCTGGCCCTCGCCTTCCCTCCGTCCTGCTTCCTCCCCTCTTTCTTCCTCTTTTCTCTAACCACATATCGCGAATCACAGGTTCTTGTTGGTTGGCGTTATGGGGAAACACAATGAATTCATTCACAAACAAAATAAGTTATGCAGAACGAAACATGCAACCATAGCGCACGAGAGACAGGGTTCCGGAGCAGGACTTACCCCTCGCTTTAGGCTCCTGAAGCAGTGGATTTTGGGTTTGGAGGTCATGAACTCGTTGAAGCGATGGGAGAGGGGTTCCTTTTGCTGCTTGGGAGACTGGGGGCCGTTGGGAACAGCAGAGGGTGAGGCAGAGGCAGGGGGAGGAGGGGGAGGCTGATGGGGGGATGTTAAAAGGGACATAAGCTACGTGTAAGAGATGGAGCAGTGACAGTAAAAATCAGAAACAAGAAGATAAGACACAAAACAAAAGTAAGCATCAAATCATATTTGAAATCCAAAGCAAGTAAAACACAAACAATTAAATATTTAGGCCATGGTCCAAAGGAAAACATGGAGAATATGTCAAAATGAAGAGAATGATGAGAGTGGGATTTTCAGTAAGTAACGCAACGGAAGAATAGCGGGAAATATTTGACAAGCGGCTCATGCAGACGTTCCCATGCAAATTATAGTTCTAATCAGTTACTCTAAACCAGTTGAAGCCAGAAGGGTAAATATTTTGAAACCACCTAAACTTAGACAGCTTCATGGGAGAAAATGAAAGACCTTAAAGGCTAAGATTGTGCAAACAGCAAGACAGTTTTTCGAAATTAAAGACTAAATTATTCTAAGGCGAAAGTGGTAACGCTGCCTTCATCGTACTATGTGCCCAGGTTAATGGCGCCATGCACCTACGCACCGGACCATAAAAAGCAAACGAAAAGTGTTCATGGACCCACATGTTAGCATGAATTCAAAACCAAGTTATTAACCCATGGGAACAATTTCAATTAGATATGCGGGTAAGTGGTTACAGGAATTCTGCACACGGTCCCCTGTCCCGGCCCAGGAAGCCAGCAGTCTGGGACGCTCAGGAGCGAAAGGCGTGATGGGAAGTGGCCGAGGTCAGGAATCTGTTAGTGTGGGTGACACGGTAGAGTGACAATGCATGTGAAATTAGACAAATGGCCATGGCAAAGGGACCACCACCAAAGAGAAAGACTGTTTTCAAAGAAAATAACACACTACCTTTTTTTTTTTTTTTTTTTTTTTTTTTTGCATTCGGAAGCTATACGTTTAGAATCCTAGTTTTGTTTTCTGTTGTTTTTTTAAGACTAGAAGATAAAGTCAAAATCTGCACACTTTATCAAACTCATTTCACACCGGGCACCAACCATCAGTACCTTGTTTTTCTTGATGAACGGCCATAACTTTCCTTTGGATTTGCCACCAAATTTGGGCTCAGCTTTGCCTTCTCCTCTGGAATTCGAAAGGCTGTTTTCTGACACGGTGCGCTTCATCGGCTGAGTGTAGTCCTCAAATTCGATATCTCCAGGAGGCTCAAACCCCGACTTATAAGCTTCTATGACGAGCTGTGAGTCCTGAAATGACACCCGTCACACACAAGCACGTTCAAATACGCGTAAGCGCTTTTCACACAGTGAACTGCGTTTACTGCATACAGATGTTACTTCTGGGACGTCACAGTGATTGATAACAGATACTTTCCTGGGAGTGGTTTTATCATTAGAAAGAATAATTTGTAAAGCTACACGTCGAGTTGAAGTTTAAAGATACTTTCAATAACCAGTTCTTTGCATTTGGAGAAACAAATATTAATTAAGAACAACTTGGCTAAAAACAGAAAAACTGGACCATCGTTAAGCAATTCCCTGGAAAAGTGCAGTAATCCAAAAATCTGCTTCCTATCACGTTCTTCAAACAATTTAGCATAGGTAAAATCAAAGCAAGGAGCAGATAACCTCTCTGCTTTCTCGGTTCATTGTGATGCTTGTTTGTTCCATGATTTTACTTCATGGATATATTTGTGTAGCCTCTCCTCTGCTAGAATGGGAGTTCTCCCACTCTTCCTCCACTTTTTCCCTGCACCTGGATGGCACCTGGTGAGCCGTAAATGTGTGCTGAGTAAGTCGATGACCTGCCTGCGTATTCTACAGTGCGCCCTCTGGTAGGAACATGGGGTTCAACATGTTCTCAGGGCGCCCAGAGTCGGGTGGTGGGGACAAATGTGTGAGAAAATTATGACCATCGTGCTCTGAATAAAGAAATTGCCCCGGCTGGTGTGGCTTCGTGGATTGAGTGCCGGTCGGCGAACTGAAAGGTCACCTGTTTGATTCCCAGTCAGGGCACGTGCCTGGGTTGCCGGCCAGGTCCCCAGTCGGGGTGTGTGTGAGAGGCAACTGATTGATGTATCTCTCGCATGTTGATGTTCCTTTCCCTCTCTTTCTCCCTCCCATCCCCTCTCTCTGAAAATAAATTAAAAATAAGATCTTTAAAAAAAAAATTGATATATAGATGAAGTATTACAAAAATGCATGTGATCTGTATAACATTCTAATTCAATGATCTGACCAAAAAAAAAGTGAGAGGAGATAATTTGAAAAGATTTCAATTTAACATAAGCCCACATTTTAATTAGCCATAGTTATTTTAGCTAATAATTTGTGGGTCTTGCACAGACTGTCATTGCCTTCCAAGAGCCAACCGCCCTTCCTTCTCAGTAACGAGAACCGTGACTTAGAGCTGGCACATTGCCGTCAAGCTAAAGGTTCCACTTGCCAGTCTCCTGTATAGCAGGAGGGGCCACTGTCTTTGACTTCTGAGAACCCTGAGATGTAGGCCAAAGTACAGTGTGCAATTTTAGGGAGCCTCTTTAAAGGGATGGCATCGGCCTGCCTCCGTATTCTGCTTTCTGGAATGTGGATGTGATGGCTGGAGCTCTGGAAGCCATGCTGAGTTTGAAGGTCATACCATCAAGAACTGAGAACTAGGAGGAACCTGGGTCCGCAAAAACTTAAGGACCGCTCGCCCATGTCATGGCTAGACCACCTGCCTGTAGATATATTTTACATGAGAGGAAAACTAAACCGCCTGTGTCAGACACAATTGTCCTTGTCATATGAAGCTACACCTGCCCTCCCGCAGGTTAACTCCCACGATCCCGAGTGTGCCAGTGGCTACGGCCTTCATCTGTTCTGGTGAGACCCTGAGAATTTGGTGCAAGTGGGAACGCACCCTGCATAAATAAACCAGTTTGAACTTTCAAGTAATCGTGTGATCAAAACACTGCATAGCGTGGGGAGGAGCGGGTAACAGCGGGGAGCCTTCTGTCCTCCACCCCGCTTCGATCGTTATTAAATCACCTCTTGCTCTCAAGTCTTCGCTCCAGGGGAACCTCTTGGACTGATACCACCCGAGCCACCCAGGCATCACTTCCTATCACCATTTCCTACTTTATTTTTTCCCAAAGTACTCTAAATAATGTTCTCGTTTGTTTCGCTGTTGTCTGGCTCGCTCTTCGGAACCATGTCTGGCACTTATGAATGAGTGAGTTGATTCAAACATGTGCCAGAGCTCTGCCTGTTCTGGAAATAAAAAAGAGCAGGTGGTGGGGGAGGCCTTGGAGCTGGCGGGGGGCACCTCCACCGCGTGGCCCTGGGCGGGCCGCGGCCCCTCTGAGTTTAGGGCTTTCCTCCGCGGGGAGGACGGCCGGCGCAGGATGGAGTGGCTGGCTGTCCAGTGAACCGTTTCATAAAAACACCATCAACTTTTCTAAAAGGAAGATTTTAAAAAGGAATATAACAGTAATTAAACACGAGTAGGCAGAGATGAAGAGGGTACGATGAAATAAATAAAATAAAAATGCCTAAGATCAAAGCAGCAAGACCCGTGAATACACTTTACCAAGAACCAAATCTGCAAAAGATAAGCCTGCAAAACACATCGAAAATACAGCAGGGATATTTGGGAAGAGGGACAGAATGTGCACGCAAAGCTGACTTATGCGGGTTAAGAGAGATCCGGCCTTTGAATTCTTGAAGAACACAGAACAGAACGAAGCAGCCATGCTAAACACGCGAAGGAGGTGAGGGAGTCATGCACATGTCTGTGGGGGGCATATTTCAGCCCCGGGGGCAGCAAGGTAGGAGCGTGCTGGGAGTATTCGAGGAACAGCAATGAGACCGTCGAGGTGGGAGCGCTGGGGAGAGCTGAGAACAGGGCACACCAGGAAGATAACCGCGGGGCAGTTTAGGGCTCGGAGGTTCCAGATGACTTTGACTCTTCCTTCGAGTGAGAGGGAAGCCCGCGGAGGGTTCTGAGAGGAGGCGGGCGTGATCTGTCTAACGGTAACCGGATCCCCGGGCTCTGTGCGAAGAACGGAGTGGGGCTGGCGGCCGGGGCGGGGCAGAGGAGGAGAGGCCGGGTAGCTGTCTCCTGCAGTCACGGGGTGCCTGGTGCATAATCCAGGACGACAGAGATTGTGGCTCGGGAGAGTAACAGTATGGGCGGTGAGAACTGTTAGGGTTCGGAATGTATTTTGAAGGTAAAGCCAACAGGATTGGCTGATAAAATTGATACAGGTGTGAGAAAAGGGGAACATCAAGTTCGACTCCCAGCTCCCCGGAGGATGGACCTGCCGGTCGCTGGACAGTGAAGACCATGGGAGGAACAGGTCTGGCGAGAACAGTCATGAGCTCAGCTTGGGATATGCTAAGTGTGCGGCACCTGTTAGACGTCCAAGCGGACAAGCCACTTGGCAGATGCGTATATAAACCTAGAGTGCAGGGGAGATGCCCGGGCTGAACTGTAAAATGTGTGAGTCAGTACTGAGATGGGACTTAATATTCCAAGAGTCCACAGGTCCCTCGGGGAATGAATGTGAAGAACAGAGAGATCCAAGATCAAAGCCCTGGAGGACCCCAAGGTTAAATGATAAGAAGACAAAAAAGCAAAGAAGACTGAGACCAGCGATGAGGCTAAAAGCCACCACCGTGTGGATTCTGAGGAATCAAGCGAAGGAAGAGCAGGTAGGCAGGCTGCTAACAGGTCAAGAAGAACTTGAATAAGAACTTGAGTGAAGACTTAGAATAAATACTTGGATTTAGCAACATACAGATGATGGGTAAAAAAGAATGAACAGCGATATAATGGAAAACAAGACTCCCAGATGGGAGAAATAGTTTGTAAATCCAGGGGGAACACAATTTCTTAGATAAAACTGATAAAAGGGAAACCTCCATTCTGACATAATCTTGAGAAATTGTACAATTTCAAGAGAAAAGACATTTCCCAGCTTCTCATATAAGAAATTAAAATCTGGCTTGTTTCAGATTTTAATCAATGCCTGAAGTCAAGGAAGCTGAAAGTCAAAATTCACAGAGAGGTGACCCTTTGGAAGGCTTAACCCATAAACCCCACCATACTATTTCCCTTGAAAAGACCCCTCTTCACAGAGATCTACTGGTGACGACTGAAATCCTAGACAGGGTGACCAGAGAAGGCCTCCCTGAGGCTATTTCTTGATCTCCTCCCGTGAGCCAGGCAGATACGGCCACCAAGCCTTTGGCCAGACTGCAGACACAGAGATGCATGGAAATGACCAATCGACAGCGCTGAGAAATGGGACAGGGGCCCCTGACACACAAAACCTCAGACAGAGTGGACGTGGCTACCATGGGAAATTACTCCTGACCACGGAAAGCAATGACCTGACACGAGGAGATGGAATGAGGCCACCATGGAAGGGGGGCAAGGGGCCGGGACCACAGACGGTTAAGTCCAAACCACAACACTTACATTCTTCTGGTCAATGGACTCGGCTGCCTTTACTATGCCATCCAAGCACTTGCCGATGATCGGAATCACCTGCCGGTCGACCTCCGCGTAGGTCTTCATCGACTCTCCGAGCCTCACTATCCTCCTCTCCTCCATCTCTTGTATTTTCTGGAACATTTGATTTCACACACAATGAATGTGGCCCTCTGTTGTTATTTAAGGATGCTGCCTTCCAACAGCATCGCTACCCTTAATAAACTGTCCAGCAAGGAGCCAGGCCTATAGAAGGGTTAGAGTTTATTACGCCCCAACATTAACTGTATGTGCATTTTGTAAATACTTAGGCTGCCAAATGCATACTTTACACAATTCCACTCCAATTACAGTAAGAACCCCACACTCAAGTATGTTTATTAGTAACACCGTTTGGTATTAGATTACAAACACTCCCTTCATCTGTGACTCGCCCCTTTACCTTTTACCAAAGGCACAGTAGTTGGTTACCCGTCAACCAAACCCAGGCTGCGGTGCGACTAGCGCCCCTTCCCGCCACGAGGCGGAGGTCCTTGGTAGCTGTGTGTGCAGACGCTGAGGCAAAGCTTTATTATTTTTCCTACAACTGGACTTGAGGTTGTAAAAGATTCTCAAAGTGGGAGAACAGGTACATATCTTTTCTCAAACTATTTTTGAAAACATAAAGGAGCCCAAAGAAAAACAATTCAAAGAGCCACCACCTGTTTAAATCCTACAACTATGAATGCTGCTTTGATTCCTAAAGTTAAGTTGGCTTTTTGATTTGTTTTTGTTTTTTGTAACCAGAATGGTTCTTTTAGTAAAGAGAACGTTAATCTAAGAATCACAGTTTTCGGTCTACGGGGGCAACTCAAGGAAGTCTGCAAAGGCTATTGATTAATCATGAGGGTGATAGTGTATTTCACTGTACTGCTAGTCAATGCTCCTTAATCTGAAAGCTTTACAATGTGATTTGAGCTAGAGGAAATGTAGAATCATTTGAATACTTGGGACGTAAGTCCAGCAATCCTGATCCCGAAGTCACGTGTTTCTTAAAAAGGCCGGTGGGCGGAACTGAGGCACTCACCTGAAATATGGTGGGAATGTGAGTGTAGTAATACTCGCGCTGCTCGTGGTTGAATTTCTGGAGAATCGATGAGTAATCTGCTTTGCTCTCCTCTGCCATTTGGTGACGTAGTTGAGCTTGTTGTCGTGCCTGAGGACGAAAAAATGAGAATATCCTCCTGTTTACAGAGACCAAATAAAAGCCTCGAATTGCAAACAGGAGGGGCTGGTCTCAAATTTACCTCAGATATGTTGTATTTAGCAGGAGCTATTTTTTAACCTTAGTTTTACTTACAGTTTACATTCAATATTATTTTGTATCAGTTTCAGGTGTACGGCATAATGGTTAGATATTCATATCCAAGGTGTTCCTCCCTCCCCAAGTGTTTCATACCCACCTGGCAGCATGTGCTGGGGTAACAGTATTATCGACTGCATTCCCTGCGCTGAACTTCACATCCCCATGACTATTTTGTAACTACTAATTTGTACATCTCAATCACTTCACTTTTACAGCCTGTCCCCAATCCCCCTCCCCGCTGGCAATGATCATTCTGTTCTATCTATGAGCCTGTTTCTCTTTTGTTTGTTCTTTATTTTGCTCTTTAGACTCCACATTTAAGTGAAATCATATGGTATTCATCTTTCTCTGTCTGACTTATTTCACTTAGCATAATACCCTCTAGGTCCATCCATGCTGTTGCAAGTGGTAAAATTACATTCTTTTTCATGGCTGAGTAATATTCCATTGCATATATGTACCGCATCTTCCTTATCTACTCGCCTACTGATGGGCACCTGGGTTGCTTCCATATCTTGGCTATTAATAACATAGCAAGTGCTATTTTTAAATAATGGTTTAGAATTTGAATTTACTTTAGGTAAGGATGTGTATCCTCATTTGTCCCAAAGCTTGCCATTCTCTATTGTCTTAACTTGGCACCCTTTCTAGTTAGACACTGAGGTGAGTCACTGTTCTTTATCACCTGCACTTGGTCAGACCAACAGACTTCTGTGCCTGGGTGGCCCCTGTGAGAACCTCTGCATATTGCCCTGGTTGGTGTGGCTCAGTGGACTGAATACTGGCCTGCAAACCAAAGGATCACTGGTTAAATTCCCAGTCAGGGCACATGCCTGGGTTGCGGACCAGGTCCCAGTAGGGGGCACACAAGAGGCAACCACACAATGTTTCTCTCCCTCACTTTCTCCCTCCCTTCTCCCCTCTCTAAAAATAAATAAAATCTTTTTTTTTTTAAAAAAACCCTCCGCATATATATATTGTTTTTTTGAGAAAGAGGAGATGAAGGAATCCATACATTTTTTAATTCATTTCTCAATGAGGTTCATGAACTAAAAGGGCATAGGAACCACTGATCTATAAATGGACCTTTCTAAAACTCTCCACGACATTTATTTTTAATATCTACTTTAAAGAAGCAGGAAGCACGGCACTCTCCTTGTGTTTCTTACATTTGTGTATGCGTGCGCTATTTGGTGTTTTACTGTATAGCTTTACTCCTACATAATTACAAAATTCACAAATGTGTTTCTCTCTTCTCATTCCTGTTTCGGTTTATCACATGCCTACAAGAGAGGGGCACTTGTAGACACAGTGCAGAATCAACCTTAGAGCTCTGACGAGAGCGTCTGTGAACTCCCCAGTCACCCGTGGACCCCAGAGGTTGTGGCAGTGCCACCTTGCGTTCACGTAGCACTTGGGAGGCTTCCTGGATCAATGGTATCTCCTGAATCTCTACGACCATCTGAGGGCCACATGAGGCAAGCCCACCACTGCCAGGTGACGGGATGGCTCAGCCTGCAGGTGACTTGGCAAACTTGCCACGCTGAGCCAAACACACAACAGGAGAAGGGCCTTGTTCCAACATAACCAAGGCGACTTTTTGTTTGTTTTTTGTTCTGTTTTACTGAACCCAATAGTTTTTTAAAAAGGGGGGAAAGAAAAAGCAAAAGCAGACACATTCAAATGTAAACCCTAAAAAGACACGTTGGGGTAGCTTATCCCTTTTTCGATCTGATTGTTGATAACATCGCCTACTGGTTTTCAGCATCTCAGTGTTTTTTGCTGGTTTCCTGCCTCCGTGACTTGAAGGCTTAACCTGGTTTTCACTTCCTTGAGTCACTGACTCATAAGCTCTGGTAAAGGCCCAAGGTGGTCACTTAAAAGGCCTTCCTTGATTCTCTTCTGCATTCGCAAGTAAACGCTTCCCAAACCAAGGTAACCATATCAGTATTTCCAAACAAATTTCCTCATCAGTTGAGGTGTTTTAGTTTCTCAAGGCCCTCAGGTGCCTCAAAACCACTGGGTCCACTTCTCAGCTCCCCTCGGTGACTTCGGGGACCACAGTCTTCCTCTTTGTCGGCTGCCTGCAAGCTCCCTTCCTGACCATATGCTTTGTTTGGCTTCCGCCGCTCCTGTGTCCACCTGTAAATATGTCATCCAGGCCCCCGACCGCCAGGTGCCCCGCCGCCCTGAAGGCCGTGCCCTCCTCTCTTTACGTGGCTCCCCCACCTGCGTGCACCCCATCTGGTCCTCTGCTGCGACCAGCACAAAACCCCCTGAACTCTCTCAGGTACCTGGAGCTTTGTCATTTGTCACTTTGTTATGGATATGAAAAAATTTTTTAAAAATCACAGGGAAAGTCCCAGGTAGACCTCAAATGTCTAAAAAACTCTATTTCATTCACAAGCTTTTCTCAGAAGAACACTCACAAAAATCCAGGGCAGGGCGGGGGGCTCATCTCTTTCATAAACAAGAATGAACAAGCGACCAGACGGAGAGCCCCTGTGTTAGTTTTGGAGAAATGATTCCGCCTTGGTGAATTTTGAAAATGGCTTAGTTCTGGACCAGAGGTCAGAGCCCCATTATTGTACGCACATGTGTGTGTGTTCATGCGTGCACACGCACGCACTCACAGGAGCAGATAAGCGCTTCCTGGCGACGCACGATCACGCAGCCGTGGAGCGCTTCGCTGATGAGACCGGAGGCGCGCCCAGTGGGGGCGCCCCGCACCAGTGGGTGGGAGCGGCTGTGACCCGCTTCCTCTGCTCCCCCCACCCCCCGTGATGTGTATGCTTTGGCCGTATGATTCCTTTGGTAAGCACATCAACTCATAATAGTTTCCTGATGTCCTTTACGCTGTTTATCTGCCGTAATTCTAACGTGTAACTAGGGACCACTAGATGGGAACGGTGGAAGCAACTGAAATAAGCAGTAACGTGCACAAAGCCCAGCCTGGAGAGGTAGCTGAGTAGAAGAAACCAAACCAGACAGACGCACACTCGAGAGAGGGCTCCTTTTCCCGTTCAAGGAGCGTGGTCTCTCAGGGAGTTTGTCTTGAGTGCAAAGGCTCGGACCCAGATGGCACAAGTCTCTGTATTTCCGCCGTCTCCCTCTCACGAAAGGAGAGAAAAGCACTTAAAAGCAGAGCAATATTGTTGTTCATTACACGCTGCAAGGCTGCGGCAGGAAGGCAGCTCCCGCTGTCTCAGCCCCACTCCCAGCGCCCATCTGCTTTGAATTAATACTCACTTTGGAATCCCGGGCCCAGGAATGTGCCATTGTTCCGACCAAATTCTAATATGGAAAATCTATTTTTGTTTAGTAAGCTGTTGTGTTTATTTTACAAGAATGGAAAGAACCGGCTTAATCAGTTACTTATTATAACAGATATATTTGTAAAAATAACTTTAATAGTATTTTCAAAAATCTATCTGGAGGGACCAGCAAGTAGTTAGGTATTTCAGAAAGTGCACCTCTTTGTGCTAACGCCACAGGATGATTAAAAGCATCACAATTTCTCATTTCTTTTGAAGTCAGTCTAAAAATAGCAACTATTATCTTAAAGAGGTACAGTAGTTCCATTCTGAGCCTGACCATAAGCTTTTTCTTATAATTAAATTTTCCGTTCTAATACCAGAAGATACTGTGTCTTATAGCAACATTACTGTAGGGCAGAGAGAAGTTCCGAGGATTTGGGTTGTTTTTTTTTTTTAATGAGTCAGAGTCATGGAATTTAGAGATAATTTTTAAAAGTCCAGAATGACCACAACTACCAAAGACTGTAGGTCACGAACATCTTTGAATAAAACCTAAACCACTTTAACTGTCTATCAGCAAGACTGGATTTCAACTTGAGAATTTCTGTGACAGGCCCTTGAGAACCTCCCCAAATAAATCCAAATAGACCAAAGTATGTGCTGCTGTTTATGCACGAGTTCACTGGTGGGCGATTGTTCCTCCTCTTTTGTTAAATTTTAATTGAATTTACTGGGGTGACATTGGTTAATACAATTATATAGGATTCAGGTGTACAATTACATAATCTGTCATCTGTACACTGCATTGTGTGTTCACCACCCAAAGTTGAGTCTTCTTTAGTCATCACTTGAGTATTTCTTTAATTTTTTTTAAAGATTTAATTTATTTTTTAGAGAGAGGGGAAGGGAGGGAGAAAAAGAGGGAGAGAAACAACCATGTGTGAGAGAGACATCGATCAGAGGAAACATCGACAGGTTGTCTCCTGTGCGCCCCCAACCGGGGCCTGGCCCACAACCCAGGCATGTGCCCCGACTGGAAAAGATCAGACTTGCAGTTTCTAAATAAAGAAAATAATATCTTAGAAACTGAACTGCAGCCCAATGCTTCTAAATTCTAATGGGATTAGAGACAAAATACTGTCATCCATTTAGATTATTAGCATGGACAACGTGTGTAGTGACTTCCTGTTTGATTTGGTACTACTTTTCCCTCCTATTTCAAATATGAAGGAGAAACTAACACTGCTGGTTGGGTCTCAACTGTCATAAGCAGACAACAGAGGGGGCGCTAAGGAGCCGCTCACGTTCACAGAGGGGACATGACAGATTTGCTCACCAAGGTGGACCCTCTTGTTTTTTTTAAATCAGGGCTGCTGATGGCCTTTGATCTTTTAACAAGAAGAGCAAACATTTATATGTTTACTATAGATAAATAATGAGGTTCATTAATTTTTTGATCATGACCTTAGACATCTCAGAATGTGACACATTGCCGTTCCTTAAGGGATAAACCACTCACTGAAGAGTTTTTTGGAAAGTCGCTTTTTCCCTCTGTATGTAATAAAATGAATTATAAACCCCATTTTTTATTAC